AAGATTCTTTATGTTTGTCAAGAAGAAGTCATAGTGCATTTCAACAATACCTGCGGCATTTGCTTCTATCTCTGATATAAAGTTCTCCTTCAAGAGCTGATGTAGTAATGTTCCAATATTATTGAGGTTTAACGTAGAACATTCATACTTTCCACCAAGTTTATAACATACCATCCATCTCTGTTGGAGTTTATTTTAATCTTCTCTAAGAGTCTCATGAAAACCTTACCGAAATGTTTGTGTAAATATTCTCTGTTTGGTTCATCTAAAGCTTCGATGTTAAAGTCAATGAGTCTATTGCCTGACTTCACATTTCTCTTCCTATTCTCTTCATCTTTCTTTAACCATCTCTCACCTTCTTTTGGTTTGTCGTCAATGGAACGAATGACATCGTTAGCTTTGCGAACTTGTTCTATAGCACTTTTAAACATCTCTCTTCTCTGTTGTTTCAGTGTGTCGTCTCTTCTTCTTGTTTCACCAACGTTTGCATTTGTTATGTCAAACATTTCTCTTCTTACTTCATGAGGTACTGAACGTCTATGATATAAGTCAATAGCAACGTCATTTAAAGGAAAAGTCTTGCATGGACTTCGTCCTCGCCGCGTTGCGGCTTTATGAACTCATGAATTCTATCATAACTTATTGCACCATTATAGTCATTGAGGATGTCAGCGAGTGCTTTTTTGTTTGTCGCGTAATGTTTTGCAACTCTATGTTAGCTTCTGTAAGAAGTTGTTTTATTTCCGAGTGTTCTAACTTAGACAACTTCCGATACATCTTTAGTAGGAAATAAAAAAATATTTTTTGAAAAAATTAGATTAGATTTTTTTAAGTTATTTTTCAAAATAATTTAATATTTTTATTTTAATGAAACACATGCAAGATTGCAAGTTCTTTTCATACAATGCTCTCGCTACTGTCATCAAGAATGAGTTCAATGGTGCTTCAAACGTTAATGTTATCTTTAACAAGAAGTTTGTGAAAGAATCTAAGTTGGTCAGTATGTCAGACCATTAGCTTGGTCCATTGACCGCAACGTTATACTTCACAAGAGTTAGCAGTAGTTTTGAAACAAAAGAGTTTCTTCGTGAATGTCAAAGATACTCTATACTGTTATAAAGAACTCTAACATTGACTTCTTCATATTGCTTTAAATCTTTCCGAACAGAAAGAATATAAGAAGGGTGAAACAAATGTGAAATTTATCCTTCATCTCTGAAGACAATAACGAACAAAGATGTTATACAGAAATTCTTACCAAAGGTTGAAGAAGCTTCAATTGACATTGACGAAGAAGTGAAATGGTTGAAGAAATTGACCCTGACGTTATTTGAACAAAAATATTATTTTTGGTTAGTCTTCATATCGATATTTACAACAATTCCCCAATGTATAAACTTTTCATACGCTTTTTCATAAGCTTATATATACCTTCAGAAATTTTGCATTAATCTTTAGAAGCATTTAGATATTGTTTAAATGCTTTATATACCTTCAGAAATTTTGCATAATCTTTTATTTGTTTCGTTCTCTTTCTGTCATGAGTTCCGAATATTTAAATTCATTGTTCTTTCATATGAGATAAAATTTTATAAAAAATAAAATTAGCTTAGATTTTTTTATTCTTCCTCTTTGAAGTTATCGAAATATTCTGTTATTTTTTCCTTCAGTAATGGTAAGTCTTCTTTGAAGGTAAGAATTGTACAACCTTTAATATCATAGTGTGTTGAGGAGAGTACTTTTGACAATTTCCTTTATTTGCTCATTCGGTGTCATTGAAATCGGTAAGTTTCACGATAGAACCAGTTTCTGTCAGATTTATATATTTTAGCGAGGTCATAAAAGCTCTTGTTGTTTCTTCTCACTAAATGCAACATAACCATATCTCTATCTTCTTCTTTCCCATCTCTTCAGCGTAAATCATATACTTATAGCTTTTTCTTTCCTTTGGTACTGAACGTGGTATTCTTTTCTGTATGCTTTTGTCTTTGGATTCAATGACTTCATCTTTTGATTGAAGTTTCTTTTCCATCTCTCACGTTCTGCTTTATATAGTTCATCTAACATCATGAAAATATAACAGCATAACGAGGTGAAGCCACATTGCTACAGCGTTTACTAAAAGTCTATGAACATAATAACCTTTCAAACCAGGAGCCAAATTCTTTGCGATTTTCGTAGGAATCTCTTCTCTCGGTTTTCCGAGGGAAGCAATCATATGAGGAAATTCTTCTAAAAGTTCTTTTGTCTGTTGGTTTTCAAACCAATGATATGCTTGCTTTGTAGAACGAAGAGCATTCATTATACTTTGCATTTGGTACATGTCATCTTTGACTGAAGAATGAGACGTAACTATTTTTGTTATACTGTATGTATTTCGTATTCTTCATTTATAGCTTCATGGACTATAACTGTTTGTTGTGTTCTTGATGTTGTCATTACTGTCTTTACATACAAAATAAAAAAATAAATAAAAATAAAATTAGCGTTATTTTCTGACTTTCACAAAAGACCAAAAATAAACGCTTTACATGTATTTTTCAGCAACTTCGTCAATAATTTTATAGCTTTATCTATCTCATCTACTTCAAACGTTTCTTTACCTTTTATGGGAGCACCATACATTTTTCTCAAACTTTTTCAAGTAGTTCTGTTCTGCAGCTCTCATATCATTAACGAAACACAACCTTGACTCTATTGACTGTACTGTCATATCTTTGAGTTATATTATATGTTCTTCCTATCTATATCTCTTTGTATTGAAGTCCTTCGGTTTCTGAACGATGTAAAGTAGCCTTCACTGCAACGTTCCGTATCGAATGAACCATAAGTTATGAAGTTATATCCAACAACTGGGTCTAACCATAACAAAACTATTGGTATAAGACTTTTGTCTATAAGATATGCTCTTGTTCCATGAAATGCTACTGATATCATAAGCTCAGGATTTCTTGTCAAAAATTTTCTGAGTTGAAAGCATTTCTACCCAGTCGTTTGTTTTCTTTCCAGATGGTGTTATATATGTCTGACAAAGAATATTTGTTGTATTTCTTTGAGTATCTTACGTTTAAATCACCTATTCTAACCACTTTGGTGTCATTGTCTATCTTTCTAACTGTTTCAAACTCAATGTTTGTCATTACTGTCTTTACATACAAGATAAAAATTTTTCTTAGAAAAAATAATGTTTATGTTAGCACGTTAGATCTAACACGTTTTCTAACCACTTTTCTAACATCGAAGAAAACTATTTACAAGCGTTTTACATGGTATATGTTGCGATGGTTCATGACTTTAAACAGTTTTGTAGCTTCTATTTCTTCACGAAGGATATCAAAAATTTTAACTATGCCGAAGGTTTCTTTATATTTCTTCTTGACATCAGATAATAGGAAATCGTCAGCAGTTGGATAGTTTTTGTTCAGAATGCTAACATGTCCATTTTATCTTCTGCTGGTTTCTCTACTTCTTTCTTTAAGTCAGCATAGTCGTTTCTCATACGTTCTAATCTCTTTGACGGAGTAGTTATATTTCCTCATTGCTGCTTTACATTTTGAACATTGCGGATTCATTTTTGCGTTATACATTGAAATTTGACCTGCTAGAACAACTAAGGCGTCAATGGTTTTCTTTAACTCAAAAGTTGTTGGTTTTATTTGTCCATTCCATATTTTACATCTTTTATCTTTATCTCTTATCTGCCATACACATTCAGCAACTAATGAAACAAAGTTGTCGTATGTCTTAAACTCCCCAGATTTATATATGTCAGAGATGTTCTTATATACCATGTCGCAATCTTTGTCCATAACTTTATGGTTGCAATGATATCCTAGAAACTCATAGTTTACTTTACGTATGAACTTCTTTATTTCTACTGAGTCAGTTGGTTTTCACTTCTATTTCAATCGAATTCATGAATAGTGAGCTTTTGTTGTTGGATTTCAGGCAATTTGGGTAAATGGTCAATAATATCCTGCAATGTCATAAAGATACTGTTCATTTGTTTCATCTTTCGCACTACAGTCTAAATTACTTGTTAAAAGTTCTTGCTTAATTCTTTGTATTTCTGTCTCAAAAGTATATGAAGAAGGAATGAAGCTTTTCATCTCTACTAACATAGATGTTGGATTCATAACTAAAGAGTTTGGTGAAGTTGTTGTTTGAAGTGTTGTAGAACCTATTGTTGAATCATATCTTTACATACAAGATAAAAATTTTTCTTAGAAAAAAATTAGCGTTATTTTTTTCATAAGGAAATGTCAAAAATTCATGATTTTCGAGAGTTTTAGACCATGTTAGAAAAGTGGTTAGAAAACGTGTTAGATCTAACATTCTAACATAAATAAAGTTTATGTTAAAATAAATGGTACCATTAATGATATCATGACTGTTCTCGTTCATGTCTGATTTACATCTAATGAAAAAGTTTAGAAGAATTTTCTTATTCTTTCTGGCTTATTTTTGTCTTTCCAGTACTCCCGCTCTAATGGTCCCAGATGTGTTGGCTTTGACTCTCTCAAGTTCTTAGATGGTATAACATCTTCAACGCCTCCTTCATATCTTACTTTATAAGTGTCATCGTTTATGTTATAGTTAAGTATTTCAATAACCACTCCTCGCTTTGCTTCGTCAATGGTTTCAGCAAGTTTACCATTACTACTTTCGACTAATTTATGACGAGGATAAAACGCAATAGAGTCGTCAGCAGCTTTTATAAGATATCCATTACCTTGCGTAGAGTCTACGATATAATAATTTCGACTTAACCTTAAACGTTTCTTTGTCAACGGTTTGTCGTCAAGAACTACACGAACTTTTGTACCAGGAATGAGGGTAAATTGTGTTGAATTTCTGATATTTTGTGTTTGGCTTCGTTTCTTTTGTATATACTTTTCTTCTTGTTGTTGTGTCATTGAATTTGGTGTATGTCCTGTTGTAGAATTTGTTGAGGAATTATATACTTCGAGAAAATGTTTCATTGTTTCTTCGGTAAAGTCTCACTCTTGATTTAAATCTCTGAGCGTTCTTATGAAGCGATTAATGATACCTAAAATATTATGGTTATGGTCTTCAGTAGTGTAGTGAGTTATGTTATGCTTAATGAGAAATTCTGTGATTTCGTTGCTGAGGTATGCACTGTCTTGGTCTGATGTTAAAGTACTTGGGTTATGTTCTGCTACAAACTTTTGTAAAACTCTTAACACTTCACGAGTTCCTTTATTTCTCATTATATACGCAAAAGCTTTGCGAGTGTTAACATTTATGAAGATGAGGAATGGTTTATGTCCTCCTTTTCTGCTTTGAATGAGAGTGTCAAATTGGTATGCGTCAGGAGTGTTGGAGTAAATTGGTAAAAAGTAGTCGTAAGGGTTTATTTTTGTTTGATGTACAACATTTTTGTCAAAGAACCTTTTCACTTCAGCTCTGTTAGTAAATCCCCAACTTTTTGCTGCTTCATTGAACTTCTTAAATGACCTCCATGGATGTTGTTCGAATACTTCTTTCAAGCTCATTTATGTAAAGTTAAAGATTTTATTCTAGGCTCAAGCGAGTTCATTGAACGCGGTACCATGCGAATATAGTCACAAATGGTGGCATATAATCTTTACCCAAGCCTGTTGGATTTGTTGTGAAAGTATGGACATGATTTCCTCCTGGTTCAGTTGGTCGAAAAGTCTTTTTTGCTGAATGGTTATAATCTGGAGATAAAATATCATAGCCAGCTTCATATTCTGAGTTGTATAATGGGTGGTCTCTTAATGAGTGGCTATGGTCGCCAGAAAAGTTTGTAGTTCCTGTATGAGTGTGCGGGGGTAAGTTTGCTTCTTTAATTTTCTTCGAACCACCTGTTTGCTTTGAAGAGTTCGCACAATAGAGGAATTTATCTACAATCTGTTCCCACGTACCAAAACCTAAAACACTTGCCGGATTTGTTGAGTTCATTGACGTATAAATAGAGCCTATAGGATATATGGTTTCAAGAATCTGGGCCTTCATTGTTAGAAGTTCATGTTTAACGTTTATAGTTTTATTGCCTTCTACAATATTTATATTGTTTGTTATTAAACCATTAGGAAAAGTAGGAGGATAAATTCTTTGTTCTTGTACAGTTGCACCGTCTCTTCCTGTTTTTGTTACTATTTCGATGCATGCCTTAATTTCTTTAATCTTGATTGTTTGAAATTCTTCATGCACGTGCTCTTTATCGGCTTTTCCATTAAGCGCAGCATTTACTTCCGACTTCTTTGCATAATTTTCATCTACATAAGTTTTGTCGGCTTTCTTATCTAACATTGCTGGTAGTTCATGTGCTTCAAAGTTTCTGGCATGACCTTCAATATTCCTGCAACTGTTATCTAAATTGTTTAGTGTATCTTTTACGCTTGTACTTGGATTCTCTAAAGGTGCACTTGAACCAAGGGTATAGTTCAATATTATGTCGTCTGCTCTAACAGTAGTGAAGGATTTATGTGTATGGTTCTTGTCGGCTTTACTGTCTAATGTAGCTTGAAGTTCATTTATATCGGAGATGTTGTGTTTATGAGATTTCAAAACTTTGTTCATTGCGTCAAGTTCATTTTTGTCCGCTTTATTTTTAATAGCATCTTCAAAAATTATTTTTGACTTAACTCTTAACATAAATCTTGGTTCAACTAATACACCGTTAACATTGAAAGTAGAGGCATAAATTTCACCGGTATAACCAAATGCTTCTGGTGCTTTAGCTACATCATACTGTACAATACAGCTTATGTCATAACCTTTAGCACGAATGTATTTATATCTTCTTTCATTAACATTTTTTGTCTTCGCTTCATCACATCGTGTTAAATATCCATGGTAGTTCGTTATAATCTGTTCGTCTGAAGTTATATAATGAACGTGGTTCTTGACTTTATCACCCAGAGCTAAAAGCTCATTTTTGTCTGCTTTTTCGGCTAATTTCTCATTAACATCATTCACTTCTAATTCAACTCTCCCGCCAGAACTCTTATTATCATTAATCTTTTTCATTAATTCGGTAATTACGTCATAAAGACTATATTCTGTTTTTGGTTTTGTAAATAATGAGTCAAAATTTCTTTTCATCATTACATCGCTGACATTAATGATATCACCAATTCCTTTTTCATTTATTCTCTTCATTAATTCTGCAATAATGACGAATATATAATCTGTTAATTTATTCTCTTCATCGAGGGTTATAGAATGTTTTGAAATTGAATCATTAACTCCTCTAAATAAATCAATAACTTCAGGATACACGTTTTTAATGTCTCGAATAACCCGACCAGTATCCTGTTGTTCATGTTCTTCGTTCCCGTCGTTACGTGGTTTTATATCTCTAACCATCATCAACGCAGCCATAACCGGAGGGTTTGTTGCTATCTGTTCGAAAATCCGTCCGTTATGTACGGTATATCTAAATAATTTCTTTGTGTTTGTTAAAACATTTGAAACAAGTCTTTTAAAACCATCTACAAAATTTCCTGTTTCACCTAATGTTCTTGCAGCATTTACAAGCTCACCCATTCCCGCTTTTGACCCCAAAAACGTCCATATTGCATTTATTTCACTCTGTATAGTTGTCCATTCAGCGAAACTAACACCCGCATTCGCTAAGCTGAAAATGAAATTCAGTGGATCGAACTTAATTCCACCTTCTTTTTCAATTTCAACGAACTCACTAACATGAGATTTTAAATATTCTTTCGTTAAAATTGTTTTCCCCGATGTTATGTCATTAACGAAACTATCACCGTCAAAAGTTAACGAATTCAATTTCGTCGTTGATGCTTTTATTTCATACACCGCTTTATCGATAGTTTTTGGCTCACCTTCTTTAGAAGCATATGAAACATTAATGAATGAATTATATGTATTCGTGAATGAATTAAAATCAATGATTTTCATTAATGACGCCTTTAATGATTCATTTACTGTCGAATCCCTTAAAGTAATTAATGAACTGTCATTTATGAAAGGTACACTGCAAACCGTCGAGTTTGGATCAAATGCTATAGTTGGTGCAGGAATATTAATGATATAAGTCATTAAATCATTAAGTGACGTAAATAATGTTGTCGTTTTTGATTTAATTTCTTTAGCATCTGTTATATATGGTAATTTTATTTCTGTAGTTTCTGAATTAAAGATATTCGCTAAAATGTTTTGTAAACTGTTTTGAACAGCTGTGTAAACCGTTGAATCCGGAACTCTTACGATTTCACCATCCTTAATAAAAGGCATTGTACATGGCGTAGTGCTTGGGTCAAATCTTTCGGGATTATAATTCAACATATATTCTAACGCTTCATGAACAGACTTATATACTGTTGTGTCGTTCTTCATGACAACTTCACCATTTACAATGAATGGCATAGTGCATGGAGTTAAAATGGGGTCAAACTTTTCATAGTCCTTCCATGTTATGTATTTCTCGGTATTTCCATCACTGATAACAATATATTTGTCAGTAAGTGTGAGAGAGTATTGACCAAAATATAAACGTTTAGCTCTGTCAGCTTCATACGCATATGCAGCTATACTCATATTTTAATGAGAATAAAATGTTGTTCTATTTGCAAAGTACAGACCCAAACGAATACGGGACAGTAAAACTACAAACAAACTTAGGTCTACAGAATGAGCCACTTGCATTCAGAATGGTTGACTTTAATACTATTGCTTCATTCGTTATAACTGACGAAACAGATTTCATGGAGCTTGAAATAAATGGAAAGAAGCACGAAATAAGATTTCACAATAATGTAGAATATAAGATGGAAACATTAGCTGGAGTGTTAAATGCTCTCATAAATACTACAATAAACAAGGATAACGGAGAAAACTTAATGAATGTTAAACTTATTGCAGGAGTTTTGAAGTTCAGTTATGCGAAAGAGTTTAAGATACCGAGAATGAGTCATAGAGTACAACTTCTTTTGGGAGCATACCATATGACATTTCCTTTGAAAAGTGTTGACAAAACGATTGAGATGAAATCTGTTCCATACGTATGTTATGGTAATTGTTTATACATTGAGTCAAAAATAGCTAATGTCACAGGTATTTCAGGAGTTAATAGTAAAGGTTCAGTAGAATATAAATCCTTCTGTTATGAAGTAAATTCAATGTTCATTCCAAACGTTCCTGTCATAGCAACTCATTTAGGTAAATGGGTTCGCATTAGTCCTCATAATTTGAAAGACATGCAATTCAGACTTGTTGACTTTCAAGGAGAGCCTGTAGAACTGAAGGCACCAGTGCGAATGACTGTTGAAGTTGACTTTTTAGAAAATATTAAATGCAACAGCTTACAAGAGAACTCAGAGCTAAAAATATAAAGTATGAATGTTATGTATTAGGTCATGAACTTTGGTTGTTGCTGTTTGATGAAACAAATGAGTTAGTTATGTCAGTCAAGAGAACAGAAAAATATTGTGTTAGTGAAAACTGCACCAAGTCAATAAGATTAGGTTTGCATTATGAAGATGAGTTCGATACTGTTGAAGAAGTTTTGGATAGATATTACAAATTGCTTTAATTTACTAAAATATTTCAAACAAAGCTTATAGTAAGTAGATAGTTTTGTATACTCGTTCGAATATTTATACTTAAACTCAACTCCTGGAGTACCTGGTGTTTCAATGATGCGGATGTTACCTATTTTCATGAATATTGGAGTTTGACCACAGCATTCGATTTCAGGGTCGAGATAGTCAATGACACATTGCTTTCCTGTTATTCGTGATATAATATTTTCAAGGTCCTCCTTTGTTAGAATTATTTGGTTCTTACTTATAAGATTTGTCAAAAGCTTCTTATCGTCTTTGAGTAAAATTGTTTGGTATAACTGAAGAAGGTAATGGTCTACGTTATCTGAAGGATTTGTTTGAACATTTGTGTAAGGGTTGTCGTTGGCTTCTCTTGAAAGAATTTGGTCCAGTGGTGGATACTCTAACTTAACATCTGATGTAGCGTTAGCGTTTGAAGCTGTGTTTAAATTCACGGATTTCAGCTCTGGTTCTGGTTCTTTCAAACACTCTGAACTATAGTTCTTTATGACAATATTGTTTGTTGTTCGTGAGTCAACATTTGATGTTGGTTCAATTGGAACATTAACAGCACCAGCTAAGATGGATTTGCTTCTCATTTCATATAGAATAAAAACCTTTTATATGTATGAAATGAACAATATACTCGACAAGGGTTTGAATGTAAAGCTAACGAATGAAAATATTGTTGAATTCACTGAGACAGGTGCTGTGTATAAAGATGTAGAACTACTGAACAAAAGAGCTAAGGGAAGAAGCAGGAACATGAACAAAGGGTGGAAGCCTATAAAAATTTATGTCAATGATGGCTCAGGAGGTTCAAACATAAAGTATGCAGAAAGTTATAGAGTTTATGCTCTCAAAGGTGAAAAGCCTTCATTTAAGAACAGCTATTCTAACGCATATCCTCAAAAGTTAACGGATGGAGAAGTGGATGATATGAATGACAGCAAAAATATTAACAGAAATGGCGACAGAGATGCATGGAATTTGTTTACCATCAGTCAATTGAAGGTTAAACTTTAAAACAATGTTGGTCGTTCCCATGGAATATTTTTGACTTTAATGGTATTAGTCATGATATGAATCTCAAGGTATGAACGAGGAGAGATGAGAGACTTATATGCTTCCCAAATTTCTTCAAAAGGTAATGTTATACCTGACTGTTTCCAAATGAGTTCAATATCATAGCGTGAGAAACCTTGAAAGATAACGAAGTCAGTTATGAGACGTTTTATGTTTAAAGCAAGGAAACGCCATGTTTGCATAAGTATTGCTACAGTTAAATGGTAATGTCTGACTTTAGTTATGATGTTAGCTAATGGTGAGTCAGGCTTTGACACTAAACCTTTTCCGGCGAAGTCGTCACAAACGAGCAGAGTGTTTGAAGGATACTTTTTGAAGGGGTATTTTGAAAGTTTTGATAGAATGTAGTTTGTCAGTCGTTTCATATCGTAAACTCCTGAGTACTGACGTAAGTGGTGTTTGTCAATAATTCTTTCCATCTCTTCTGAAGTCTTTTGCATTCCTGACTGTATGAACTCTACAATAGCATAATATTTTCTCTTACGTCGAATGTAACGTTGAAGAAATTCAATGAGTTCACTGTCTGGAACTTTAACGACAGAGGCTTGAACTTTTGACATAAATGTTTTCGCTGTTGAGTCCATAGAGTCTGAAGTTGCTGATATAATGATTTGGTCATAATATGAGTCATTTCCTAAACGTTCTGTTATGAGTATATGACGAATGAGGTTAAATGTCTTACCTGAACCCATCTTTCCACAATAGAAATAAACGCCATTTGAACAGAACTCATAGTCCTTACTGAAAGGAAGAATGAGAGAAGAGTTAAGTTTGTCTGTAGTTTCATTCATGTCTTCATCTACGTCATGTATTAAATGCTTCATTTTATCTCCATTAAAAATGCAAGTCAGAAATATTCAGAACATAGCACCGAGTCTAACTGACAAGAGTATAAAGATATACTATGAACATGTTATGATGAAACCAACCAAAATTCAAGAAAGTCAGTATACTTATGAATATCCAAGACATTGGGTAGAGTATATAGGAGGTGAGAAAGCTATTGAAATCAGACAGGTTCGAAGTATTCCAGCAGGAAGAACAATATTATTGAAGAACTTTAATGTTTTGAGGTATAATGATGAAACAAAGAAGCAAGATAGTTTTCCTGTTGCTGTGTATGTGAACTTAGATACAGGAGATGACATGAAAGTTTTTAACACAAAGCTTCAAACGGTAGTGAGAGAACAACTGACTGCAGAAGGACACCCATTACCTTCAGAAGTTACCATAGCATATAATTTTGAAACAAATGCAATAGATTTTAAAATCGCCTCTGCAAAGAAGTCAGGTTTTACATTTAATGAAGCAGATGTATATTCGAATGAAAACTTCAAAGCTATTGCATGGTTAGATAATGACGATTGCTTTAAGAAAATATTTAAATTCAGTGACTCAAAGATGTCAATAGATGACCTTCGTGGAATGTTACCATCGACGTTTACAGTTGAAGGCTCAGCAGGATTGCTTACAAGATTGTCAATTGGTGGCGTTTGGTCTCGTGAGAACATTGTTATAAAATCCAGTATAAGTGAATTTGCTGAAGAATCTATATTATGTCTTTCAAACTACATGTATTCGCCACCGAAGCATTATAGTATAACAAACTTTGTCAGTAAGTTTAACATAAGACTTGTCGAACCTTCTTCAATGAAAGATGTTGTGCTACCTAAAGATGGAAAGGATGGACTCATTATTGAGATGATTTTAATTGCATATTAAATGAGCTTGTTCTTAAAGGTCGTTCATGATGAAATAACTGTTGTAGAAGATGTTAGCAATTGTTCAGACATTTTGAAGCGAATAGATGAGATAAGAAAGAAGTTAGATAGACCGCAAAGCGGTGAGGGTGAAGCCCGTGAGAATGTTTATGTTTCATTGACTTTCTCCAGTAACGAGAACTTTTATGAGATAATATTGAAGAGAGATGATTTTAATATGGGGTAAATGGTAGCTTGGGCAGCTTTAGGCGCAATGGGAACAAAAGCATTAGCATTTGGAGCAAAAGCACTTGGAGCTTATGACGCAGTAAATAAAATGAGTGGAGGAAGGGTTTCAAAGACATTAGATGCAAATAAAGGAAAGATTGGAGGCTGGGTTGCAAAGAAGTTAAGATTAAATAAAATAGGGCTCATAAATAAAGCATCCAATTTGGTTGCGACTGAGTCAGAAAATGCTTTAGGAAAGGACGATGAGTTTGCAAAACACGCAAAAGACTTTAATGACCAGATGAAAGGTGAAACAATGCATTTAAATAGAGTCGATGGAACTAAAGAAAATGTTTCTTCTCCACCAGCGGTTTATCCATACGGACCTTATGGAATGTATGGAAACCCTTATGAACGACCATTTGACCCATTGACTGGTGGAAGTAATTGGTATCATTATGGACGAAGAAGAAAGACAGTCAAGTTGGAGACAGACGTGAAGAAAGCAACTAAAAAGAAACCAAGGAAGAGAGTTATAAAGCAATGAATTCAACAGGGTAGAAATGAGGTTAGAAATCGGGTTAGATCTCACCACTTCACCTAAATTTATTTTTGTGCTATGTTTTCATACGTGTGAGGGTGGTGATATCATTTATTTTTTATTTTATTTTTTAAAATTATTTTTATTTTATTTGGATGTAATGACAGAACAAAAGCAACTCATACAAATCAAAACATATAACAAACATACATTTAAACATTTATTCTTCCTTCCTGAGCATAACATGTTCTTTCAAATACATCCGAGACCAGTTGACTTTTCATTGACTGTTTATAAAGATAGAAATAGTTATATCATTAAACCATACGATGACGAAGGTAAGTTATGTAAATTGTACGTTAAGAAGTTAGAGAAAGTTTATGGCTTCAAGTATGACTACAATAGGGTTAACACTGATGATGAAGATATTGAGGAAAATTTATGAGAACATTAGTGAAGTTGTTAGTGAGAACGATAGTGAGGTGAAATTGTTGGCGGCTTTGTAAATATTTAAGGTTAAGATAGTTTTTGCGTTCATGTTGTAAAATATACGTTAACGGTTTTGTAAAGTGTCAAATTCACAAGTGTTGGGTAAGGTGGAACGCAGTGCCACCATACCCAAGACTTGTATACTAACTATAAATCCTAATAGAAATATTCAGAAGCGAAGTTTAACAGATAATTTGACAACAGCTGAAGAACAAAGAGGATTCTTGAATTCGGAAAAATTCATGGAAATTTACGAAAAACTTAAAAGTGAAACAAGATTCCTTATCAAGAAGGCAACTGATGATATTGTTTCTTGTGAATTACTTGCATTTAAAGCTGTCACATTCAAGAAAGGTAATATTTCTTCTTTATATTCTTTTGATGAAGATACAAAGATACCTGATGATATTAGAGATGATATTAGAAATGATTTTAGAAAAGTGACAGAAACCGTCAGAAAAGTTTGACAATTTCTAAGCAAAAGTCAAAGAACAGTTTCGAAAGACATCTTTCTCTTAAAAATCGCTTTGATAATTATCTCGATTCAATCATGGATAAATGCACAATGTTAATAGACCAAAAAATAAGTTTACAAATGTCAACACAACAAATTTTGTCATTTATTTTATCGGATTTGACAATTTCAGATATCAGAATTTTACGTGACATTGCAAATAAGAGAAAAGATATCACAGAGAGTTCTTTCTCCTATTTACAAATGTATTTCGATGAGGTCAAAAATGACGATTTATTGCTAACAATGATTAGAAATATTGATACTGAAATTATTTACTCAAAACAAATATTAGATAAACTTGTTGAAATTTACGGTCATCTTAATAAAGACGAGAAAGAAATTAAGGAAGATAAACCACAGGAAGTATATCAAAAAGAAAATCTTAAATCCGATTTGAGCTACATCGGAAATAACAAACCATTAATTGCAGACAAAATTTGTCAAATCAGAACAACGTTAAAAAACGATAAAAATTTGTTGAATGAAGTATTATTGTCGATTTCTCCTAATGATGTCAATATTTCGATGGGTGCACTTGCTGTTTTAGGCTTCCATAACTATGATATAACAACAACTGGATATGGCTACGTAAACAATGTATTACGAAGTGTCAAAGATATGACAATTTCCGAGTTCAAGATTTGTGTTCCAGATTTCAAAGTTCCACCACCAGAATATACTTTACCAAATTTTCTCAGAAATAATGCTATTCTTTTGCTTTACAAATTAGATGAAGTCGAGAATTTGAATGAAGTTTTGCAAGTTATTAGATTTGCTAATGCAAATAATATAGGGTGTCCAAAGGTGTGTTTAGCACAAACCTGAATACTGCGAATAGAAATAAACAAGTTACATATATATATAAAGTTTATTTAAATATAATCACCATTGGATTCAATCACGCGTTCGCAGCGATCGATCCAGGCTTGAAAGACACGCTTTAAATCATCATGAGAAAATTGCTCAAATTGCTCTCTTACAAAATTTTCAAGATCATCTGGACTCGCGAATTCGCGTCCTTCAGCTCTCTTTTTTAGCGTGCCGAATAAATAAAAGTCAGAGGGTGCAATATCAGGTGAATAAATTGGGTTTGGAACAACTTTGACATTGTTTTCCACCAAGTAATTCATTACCTTATGACTTTTGTGAACTCTTGAATTATCAAAATGAATTGCAAACTTTTGTTTTTGTTGTTTGGATTTCTCAAACTCATCAGAATTGATAATTTGAGTAAGAACATTGTCAATTAGATACTGAGCATTCATCGTATTAGGTTTTTGAAGAATATCAATTGCGATGATGCCATTCACGCCCCAAAAAACCGACAACATCATCATTGGTGTGTCAATTTTTTTCTTCGGGAATGTTTGCGGATTTTCATCCTTCGGGATCCACATGATTTTGGCTTCTGCTGCATATTGAAACCAAGACTCGTCCCCTGTTACTAAAAAGCGAAACTTCTTGGTTTGATACGCACCCAATATAGAGAGGAGCTCTTTCGAAGATTGGACTCTAGATTTTTTTTGAACTGAATTAAGGTTGTGCGGAACCCAACGTGTATACGCTAGTTTGTAGTTCAAATAATTGTGCAGATAATAACTGACTGTTGTACGTGGTATCTTTGTCATCTCCTCTATCCTTCTGAGTGATGCTCTTGGGTCTTCATCTAGCGCTTGAAGAATTGCTTTGATTTTTCTTTGATCCGGCGATTTTTTGTCAATTTTTATGATGGGCGCCTTTTTGTTCATGAAGTGATACATCCTAACATGATACGTTACAGTGGAATAGCTAGGAGCATCCATACTGAAGCATTTTACCAATGTCTCGTAGATTTTTTTACAGTCTTTGCATTTTTTTGCAAGAGCGAGGATGTTTTCTTTATGATTCATTAAAAAAATGAAAAAAATCCCGCCAAAATTTCCCGCGAAACCGCCTCTTGTCTCAAAATTCATTTTATATCCCGGCATGGCGCCAAAATACAACATACTCATCATATACATATATTCATATTTTTTATTATATATTTATAATCAGCATATATCTCCTTTAATAGTCTCATATAGAGCGCTGTGCTAAACGCACCTTTGGACACCCTATATTAAATTGCCAGATTCATTACGTTTCTATCTTCATAAATTTAAATTGTCAACAACAAGTGACAATTTATTTAACTCTCCGTTATACAAATATAAATTTTCTAAAGAAGTTTCAAAGAATAATTTCATCTCTCTTCATTCAGCATCATCTGCAGAAAAACACCAATTGAAAATGTCAAAAGATGATTTGACATTTTTTGTGTATGATTCAGTAAAAGAACATGTTAATTTCACAACAAATAATAAAGAATTATTATCATTTGGCGGAATGATTACAAAAGATTCAGTTGCTTACGATTCATTCCCTCATTCTTCAGAGTGCTTCCAAATACAACAAAAAGGTATTCCTTTCTTTGTTTCTTATTATAATGATCAAACAGTTAAAGCTGGATTCGACCACAAAGATATATCTAATTCTACAGTTGTTGTTAATAATATTTCAGATGTTTTACCAAAATTCCCAACAAATTTTGTTGGTCAAACCGTTTTTGTTGATGGCTACGGTCCAGGAATTATCATTGAGTCATCAAACAACAAATCAAAGATTTATATAAATGATTGCGGCAAAGAAATCTTGTTGGAATTAAGAAATGATGAATTTAAGATTCTTGATCAAAATTTCTTTAAATCTATTTTGCATGGAATTGTAATGAAATGTCCTTCATCAATCTTTACCAAAAACATTAAAGAACATTACGAAGTTGAAATGCAAACAAAAATCATTTTAGAAATAGCTAAAATACAAAAAGTCAAATTCGAAATCGATTGGCCCAGAATGTTAGAATTAGTTGACAAAAATACTTCATATGAAGTGATTGCTTTCTTCAAAAGAAATGAAAGAAGGATATTCAAAGAATTTTACCACAATCCAGATAAAATAAGTATAAAAATGGTTGAAAATTGTGCAAAATACCTTGCTTTGGACACAGAATTATTATCATTTTCTTTGAAAAACTCTTCATCATTAATTCAAAGCCATTATATATACATATCATTGCGTGATAACTTTAATTTCTTAAACAAGAACAATTACAGAAAATTTGATCGTCAGATTTCGTATTTGCTGGATCATCTAGAAGCAACATCCATGAAGTGTCTAAATGAATATTTTATGTTTATTATTAAAAACAACTTCGATGCCAACAGTTCGTTCCATTTATATGAATTGATTCTGATGACTTATATGGAAACAGGAAAATTTTCTCCAGCAATACCTATTTATTTAGACTGTTATAATCCATTGGGAAAATACTTACTTATTTCTGATAAAAATTTAGATCAATTAGATTCTGAGTCATATTTTGAAAACAAAGTTAAAAGACTCTTTTCTAATTGTTTTAAAGACTTAAGAAAGAGAATTGTTAAAAATATTCCGGAAAGAAAATATCGAATTGCCTTTGAATTCAATAGATTTGAATCTTATCCAATCAATCCAAATGCTGATAGATTATACATGTTCGAGAGATTTATCGAATATGTTGATCCAATACAGCTTAGAAAAATGAAAGTAAAATTTATAGGAGAAGGTGGTATTGATGCAGGAGGCCTCAGAAGAGAAGCAATGACAATGATAGGAGAAGAAATCAAAAATGAGCTTTTTACTATAGATTCAAACGGTTATTATAAATTGTCAACAACAGATGGACTGTTCCAAACATTTATTGGTGTTTACATTGCTTTTTGCCTAAATATCAAGGCCCCGTTTTCGATAAATTTACCAGATGATGTCAAAAATTACATCATTTCAGATATGAAAGGACATGAAGAATACGAAAGCGTTAGAGTTGATTTCCAAACAGCAATACCATTGAACAATCTTTCGAATGTTAGGAGCTTGGCTATAAGAAGATTAGTAGTTTTTGGAAATTCGAAACAAATAATCAATCCAGCAGACATTATTAATCTTTTGGATGGTTCTTCAAAGAGAATTCGCGTTTTCTCAGAAGCAATTAGATTATTGAATCCTGAAGAGTTACCTAATTTGTTAGCATTCATTACAGGATCACCTACATTGGATTATAACACTACAAAAATATCTATTGCTTCGATATCGGGAGGTGATGATGAGAATGAAAGAACTTGGCCACTACCAATTGCTCATACTTGCTTCAAGAAGATTGATCTCCCTCCTTACTCTGATCCAAATATTCTTGTTGAAAAACTCAGAGCAGCAATGAGTTATTCCAAGATTATCTCAGATGACATAGACCTTGTTGATTTTTCACTATTTCATTGAAATATATCTTATTTTTTATAGATTTTAAAATTCACTACCAAGATATTCTTTACTTTTACTAATCCTCTGGAATTTTTGGGTATTATTTCATTACAATCTAGCATGCATATTCCACACTAAAATATCCAAAAATTTTCCTTTTGAATTATTGCTTATGGAATATTCCATTAATAGTTGGATGGCAAAATTTCATAAATAAATTCTATGAGCTTTCACAAAAAGTAAAAATTTTAATGGCAGAATTTCATTAAAAATGAATAATCTGGATTATAATGAGCTCTTATTAGCAAGTAAGGATTACCCTGAAATATTCAAAAAATTGTACATGCTTAAATCATGTAATGAAACTGAAATCTTCAAACTATACGACGATATCAAAAATAAAATAATAGAAACTAAGATACTTTTACCATCACGGGTTCTAACGATCATTACAGATGCTTGTTTATACAATAATCGCTACACACGGTCATATTGGACTCTTTGCAAAAAGTTGATTGAGGAATATCATCCAAATCAGATCCAATTCAATTCACATATATTCTATTATTTTTATTACAAAGAATATGGAGTTATTTTTGATAAACATATACAAAGATCAATTGATAAATACGAACATTTTAAAATTTCATTGGATGCTCACGAAAAATGCACAATTTATGGAGCAATTATGAATGATGATAAAGAATTATTAATATGGTTCACAGAAACATCAAGATTTATGCACAGTAAAATTCTGAAAAGTGATTTTTATCCAAATAATTCTAACCTTGGATATTCATTACTTGAATTGTGCTGCTATTACGGATCTTTTAATTGTTTTAAGTTTTTAAGAACAAAATTTAACTCTAAGATCACTCCTAAGTGCCTTCAATTTTCATTTTTAGGCGGAAATCCAGACATCTTGAGTGAATGTTTGAAATTTGAAAAACCAGATAAAGAATGCATGAAATATGCAATTATTTCACACAACATTGATTTTGTTACATATTTGATGAACGAGCATCAAATTCAAATCGATATTAAACTATGCAATGAATTCAATAACATTGAAGCATCTTTTGTTTATTTAGATCAAACAAAAAATATCTTTGACTGGCTTCATTTTTCATCAATTTTCCGTATTCCATCACTTTGGGAATATCTAATTTCAAAAGGTATTCCCAAAAACAAAAATGATAATACAGTCCTTCAATTAGCAGTTGCAGAAAACGAAAAAGAAATGGTTGAGTTTCTTTTATTGCATGGTGCAGATATCGATGCAGCTAATAATAATGGAAAAACTCCCCTTATTTTGGCTATGAAAAATAGGTATTTTGATATTGCCAAATATCTTGTTGAGCATGGCGCAAATGTTAATGCAGTTGACAATAAAGGAAATGATGCAATTAATCTAGCAATAGATTATAATCACATTGATCTATTCAAGCTGTTTTTATCACATGGAAATATAAATGTATCACCACAAAAAATTCCTCTTCACAATGCAATCTCAAGTCGCAATAAAGAATTAGCAGAACTTTTAATATCAATGGGTGCAAATGTTAATGAAAAAGATATAAAGAGTTAGCAGAATTTTTAATATCAAATGGCGCAAATATCAATTTGAGAGATAGTGATAGTCGAAACGCTCCACATTATGCATTATGTTCTTATAATTGTAAAATTGAGCTAATAGAATTTTTAATCTCAAAAGGTGCAAATGTTAATTCAAAAGATTATCGTGGCAGGGATGCTCTTCATTATGCAGTGGAAAAAAACACTACTATTGATATAACAGAATATTTAATTTCTCATGGAGGGGATGTCAATTCAAAAAATTTTGAAGATCAAACACCTCTCCATTATGCTGCCATATATCAAACAATCAAGCAACAAAAACTCTTATTCTCCATGGTGCTGATGTTAATATGAAAGATTTGTATGGGAAAACAGCTCTTATCATAGCATCTTTTAACAGCCCAGATTTAACACTTTTTTTATCTCAAATGGAGCAGATTTTAATTTGAAAGATAATGATGGCGTTACCTTCCTCCACCAAATTCGTTATCCTTCCTGTCTGGAAGAAATATGGGAAATGTTAATTACACATGCAGTGGATATCAATGCAAAAGACAAAAATGGGTGCACTCCTCTTCATTATGCAGTAAGAAGGGGATTGGTGCAATTAGTTGAATTTCTTGTTTCACATGGAGTAGATGTCAATTCAAAAGATAATTTGGGGTGGACACCTCTTCATTACGCAGCAGAACAATCTCGTTTTGAAATAGTCGAGGAACTTATTTCTAATGGTGCAAATATCAATGAAAAAAACAATAAAAATCAAACCGCTCTCTCCCTTGCTATCGAATCACATCAATATAAACCTTATTACAATAAGACAATTGAACTTCTTAAGTCGAATGGTGGCATATGCTAACAAGAGGAATAATAGCAAATGGTTTCTTATTACCTAAATATCTTATTTTTTTTTGAGAATGTTCAAATAAAATTTTAAAATCTGACATGTGATATAAAAAAATTAATTTAAAATGTCACATATAAAAAGAAGAGGACAAGTAGCGCAATTACCTGATTTAGATGTAATAAATGGAGATGCTCCAATTCCTCCAACACCTACTCAAAACAATCCTCCTCCAAGAATGCGCTCTTTTTCAAGAGGACGTGGAGTTCCTGTAACAGAGGCTCCTCCAGCTGAATTAGCAGCTCAGCCAGTCGCTGCAGAAAAACCTGCTCCAGCAAAACCAAAACAAAAAGAATATACAGATGTCAATGATCTGCCAAACAAACTAGAAAAAGAAATCTCTCAATTGCATTCTTCAATTGCTCAAGCACTTATCACGGAAGTTGGTACTCTTCAAGAATCTGCCGAAAAATTGACTGAAATGAATACACTTGTTTCAAATTATCTAAAAACATCAACAGGATCGAAAGACGTTGAATCAGAAGTATACAAGAAATTAATCATGATTAACTCAGATCATAAAGTAAGCGCTACAACAATCGCTAATAAACGTCGTGTTATTGAAAAACTTCAACTGATCATAGAAGTAGCTGCCATACCAGAGAAATGGACGAGAGTGCTCGGACAGTCAACATTTCCTGCACAAAATGTTGGCAGTTTGCAGTCAATTCTTGAAGAAGCGACAAAAGCTTTATTACCTGAGAATACTCCACCAATTCTTGTTGGCCTTGTTGCTGCCAAGAACAGGGAAGCCGATATCAATACAGCTTTAATGCAATTTTCAAATAATTTCACGAGATTTTTCATTAATATTTTCAAATCTCCACAAGAACTTGAACAATTAGCATCGCAATCGAAAGGAGCTACGAACAGACCTCGCATTGATACTTCTCAACCAGCTCAGCCTTTCTCAGTTAACTTAGAAAATCATACTTTACTTCGTGCCATTTATTCTTACTCCTGGATCATTCTTTGGATCAAGAATCGCTATCCAGATAACTTCAAGACCATGGTTACCGCCTTCCACGATGCTTCAAAGCTTACAACTCAATCATCTCTGATTGATGTCCTCGAGAAGTCAATCAAACGTATCACAGAGATGGAGCCGACAAAGAATAAAAACGATCTGTTCTCTGCTGGCTCGAATATGAAGGAAGCACAAGCCCAAGAAATCTGGGATATCCTAAACAAGACTTCCGACACCATATTCGACTCCAGCCTGAAAGAGAAAATTATTCTGATGGAGTTCTGGGGCGTAGAACAGTACCTCGACGATTTAATTCCGAAAGCCGTTTTAGATAAGATCGAAAGCATGTGGATGCATGCAGGAAAGTTCGATATGTTCTTCATTCTCCGTGGTGCCTCACTGAATAACGAGATAATCAGCCAGAAAAACCTTCCTTTGGAGTCAATTGTCGAAGCATTGGGTCATAAATGGGACAAATACATCGAAAAGCAGTCCAAACTCATTATGGCCGAGAAGTTCGAGTACAAGAAGACCACAACTCTCGCTCCTTGTAAAGCATTTCCCAAATTCGTACATTATTTGCTTTCAAAGAAGCTCGAATACGATAATGAGCTTCTTGAAGATGCTTTCGACAAGCTATGCACTGCGTTAACAGATTGGTTGGTCCAAATCGTTGCTCCTAAAGCCGAAAAGAAGAAACAAGAAAGATTAATTGTTGTCAACACTTTTTACATGTTTAACAAGCTGAAGAAATCGAAAACTCTCAAGGAAAGTACTGGTTTCCAACAGACAATGGATACAATGCAGGAATTCATGAAGCAACACATCGATTTCTTGTTGAGAGATTTAGTTTCGAAACAATGGAAAAATGCAACAAAATTTTTCACTCAAATTACAACTTGGAGAACAGAATGCGGCTTATCTCCTGATGTAGTGACATTCCAACCATCACATACTGATGAGAAGTTCCAGGAATTAGTTAAAGACTTGGAAAAGAATTTTCAATCTAATTTCAGTGCTTGTCAAACTGTAATCAACAATAAAATCAAAGAGACTGAACTGAGAGAATTGATTCTAAAGAGATTATCGCCTTACGTTGACGAAATGTGGAAAGAATGGGATGATTTCGCAATTTCTTGTTACAATGAAGGAATTTTACCTACACCGGAAACTGTTCATAATATAATGTTCCATGATTAATATTATTATTTTTTGTAATTTTTAAAAATTTAAAAAAGTGACATATGTAATGAATTTGATTTTTTTCGATATATTTTTTATTAAATCAGATAGATATTATTGTGTAAAACCAATATGATCAACAGTTGATTGTAGTGGAACGTATGATAAAACTATTTCTTCATTCAATGACTTTGTTCCAACAGAATTTGCCTCATTTCAAATTGCTAATGACGAAAATACAGTAATAGACGTTTCATACGAAGATTTCTCAAGTTTTGGTGCTAAATTTTACGCAGTAAAAGCAGGATTCATAAATTTCATTTATCCATTAAAGAAAAGAGCATTACAAAATTCACTTTTTTACTTGGTTAATCTAACAGTAACCCAAAAGTTCCAACATGCTAATAATATTACTGTTTGTTATTTAGATAAAGTAATAATAGTGAATACCAACTTTACTTTTCCGTCAGGATTCCATAAAATGATTGTTGCTAACAAAGTTACAGTAGATCCATCCACTCTAAACTCTCTAAATCATATTTACGCGAATCAAGTTCAACTTAATGTTAATTCTACGAGTTCTTTCCCTGATTTGAACAATACAGTATCAATACATACTATTAATGAGACTGGTTATCTTTTGTGTTTGATGAGAATCTATGATACTGAAGGATTAACTGTTCTTCACCAAACAAATCAAATAATGATCACAGGAAGTAGGGGATCCATCATATTATGTAAATTCTCAAGTGTTTATTTGAATATTCACTTCCGAAATTGTTCATTGAATTTATTTACAAATCAATTCAGTGATCTCGCTCATTTAGCGTTAGAGTATTATATCTCAGATAGTACATGCAAAGTCAATAACTTCTATTACGATGAAATCTATTTTTCTTCAATTCATTTGAAAAATTCGAGTTTGGTCTTAGATTGTGATTTTTGTCCCTACAATACATCTATTTATGAAGCATCTAGTATAACACTACCAAGGAATATAACAAAAATGACGGAATTACACGTAGAAGAAGAATTAATTTTAAATCCTTTGAACGAAAACTCACAAATCAGTTTGAGAATTCTTAAACCGAAAAATGTCCTCACTTCCTCTCAATTTTTGAGTATTTTGACTGAAAAATTCGAAATTGATCGAGAAAATGTCAATATCACTAATATTGCTGTTTCGGTTTTAGAAAATTTCATTGTTGAGCTTGTAGGTGATGCAGACATTGAAGAATTAATGTTCAAAAAGCAAGCAAAAATAAAATGGAATGTAAATTTTGACAAAAGACCAAAAATTTACACAGAAAGGATCAACAACACGAAAGACCAAGTCATAGACATTCATAGTTTCAATTCATCTATTTATAATAACAGAACAAAATTTTCATCAATAATTTATCAACAAATTGTTTTGTTTTCTTCAACGAAACCAGCACCAGAGTCATTCTCATTGAATTATGTTGATGGAGATCTTCCTATAAGTACGATTATTCAAAATATTAATATTTTTGATGGCCAAAAGTATATTTACGGGTTATCGATCAATGATTACCCAACAAAGTTCTATCCTGAAGTATATCTTGACGAATACTCCTTCGATAACCCAGAAAATCGAAATTATTTATTAAATTATGCAGATGCACAGAATCATAGCTACTTTACATCGAATATAACGAGGAAGTTGTATATAAGATCAAGTAATTCGATGGATTATACCTTCGATGTCTATAATTTTTCAAGTAAATTTGATCTTTTTTACGGATCAAAGGAAACAAACAAATTGGTGATGAAATTCAATAAGGACACGAATAAATGTCTTAATTCCTTATTCGCAGAGCAAGGAGTTCTTAAAATTGTCAGTGATTCTGAGGAAGATATCAAATTATCTCTTGATTACCTCAGTTTAGACCAATTAAAGGAATTTTCTATATCAGAAAATTCTAAAATACACTTCACAACTATAAATAACTTGAAAGCTGGCATAGATCTCTTAAAATATCTGAAATATGATTATGTAAAAAATTTTCAGCTTCAAATCATCGGTTATCAGTTCAGTTTAAGGGTATTTGAGGATGGATTTAGTATTACAAAGCTTAATATGAACGAAACCATCTATTTTTACAACAATAAAATGGAGAATTTCGTAATTTACATCACAGATCACCAGCAAATGACTTTGTCATGCGATAAGAGTAATCCTAAGCCTGTTAAATTAAGATACATAGATACTGTAACTGATATTACTGTTAAATTGATTGGAAAATTCCCTGAAGATTTTAAAAATAATTTAATGGAACTTCCGAAAGGTATAAGTGTAAGATTATCTGTTGAATCTGAATATATACCAATCGATATAAGTGATTGCGCATATGCTAGCGTTGATAAAACAAATAATATTACATTTACTACACTTCCACCGGCCAGATTCTCTAAATCAGCGAAAATAGCTGTGTTAAATTCAATGGTTACCCTTTATATGAAGAATATGATACTTTCCAATCATTCTGAAATGGAATTTATCTCAACAATGAGAGGATCTAAGTCGCAGTTCATAATTGAGGAATTGAATGTAGAGGAATCATCATCTGTATCAATATCATCATGTATGATTTCATCTACAATCAATATTAAGAAGAATTCTTCGATTTCATTTTTAAATTCTAACATTTCTACTTCAATAATGAATGTTGAATTAGAACCTGAGAATACCAATTGCATAATTGATATCAAAACAACAACAGATATTGTAGAACCCCCTGAACAGATAAATATCAAAATTTTATTGCCGAAAATCATGGGAAAGAGGACAATGAAATGGACTCAAGAATTCGCAAATAACGTATTGTCTGATAAATAGACAGAAGTCATCAATGTGACTCATGACGGAGAAAATAAGAAATATGAATTTCAATATTTAGTGACGAAACAGTCAGGAAAGATATCAATTGAGTTTTCTTTTACTAAGAAGATACCGATTGCCTTAATTGTTTCTTTAGTTTGTGCATTTATTGTAATAATCGTAATAATTATCGTAGTAATTGTAATTATTAAGAGAAAGAAGAGCAAAGATAAGAAAGATGTCAAGAGTTCCATTCATCTGTCATTGATAAGTCTGACGGAAACGAGATCTGATGATTTCTAGATTTATTGAATTATAATAATTCGATTGTTTTTATAAAATTATATTATTTACAACTTATTACATTCTTTTTATAAAATTTTTCTTCTGGTAAGGGATTTTCCTATTCAATTTATGACAGACAAATTTTATACCAATTCAAAAAAATTCCATCGCTGTATTGAATTTTTCATTTTAAGAAATTCTTAATTATCAAAATGATGTCTTTTAAATTATTCAAAAATCCCATTTTCAGAGAAACTAAAGTCAAAAAGTATCATTTTTCATTATGACTGATCCAGCACCAGCTAAGCAAAAATGCACAGAGGAGGAACTCACAGCGAACTTCAATGAAGCAGTCAATAACTTGAGAGAAGCTTACAATGCAGCAAATGAAGATGAAAAAGTACAAATCTTGCTTCTCATGGACTCATTAAACGACAAGGCTTCTTCTAAACTTGATTCAGTCGATTCCGATCTAGTGCATTTTCTAACTGAAAGATTCAAAATTGTTGATCTTCGAAAACTCATTGGAGATCTTCAAAAAGAATTAGGTCTTCGCTCTATTGAATACATCAAAAAGGAAATAGTAATAAACTGGTTCAAATCCTTCTGGCCGAAAATTTCGACATCCAATACTGACGCTTGCAAGGATTTCTGCACAAAATATGAAGAATTTCGCAACAGCAGGTCTACTAATTAGATCAGCTAATCTAATATTGAAATAATAATATTTTGTTTAATGTTTATTACTCTAAACCTTTTCATTTTCATTTCATTAGCATAGACTTTTAAATGGACTCAATAATGGCTGCTGTATTTCATATTGAAAAATCTTTTATTTTTATTTCTCATTCTTATACAAAAAGTTTATTACATTTAGAATTGTTATTGAAATACTTCTTTAATATCATATGAAAATTGCTGATTTATATTATTCTGTTTGAATTTGAGAGAAAAATAATCGTATTTGTCTGGCCTTTTGCACCATGTCTCTTCTCCAAGCTGGTCGTTTCGTTGTTATGCTCCAAGGCCGCCATGCCGGCAAGAAGGCCGTCGTTCTCGCCGCCTACCCAGAAGGCACTGAGGACCGCAAGTTCCCATACGCCATCGTTATGGGTATCGAAAAGTATCCAAAGAAGGTCACAAAGGATATGCCAACAGAAGTCCTCGTTAAGAAGACACAGGTTAAGCTTTTCGTTAAGGCCGTCAACTTCAACCACGTAATGCTTACACGCCACAACGTCAAGGATGAGGACTTCTTCAAGAAGATCTCCGTCGAGAAGGTTGTTGCTGCTCTCAAGGATGCCCCAGCTAAGAAGGCTCTCCTTACAGAATACGCCGCCGTCCTCCGCCAGAAGTACCTCAACAACAAGATGGCATGGTTCTTCAAGCCACTCCAATTCTAAACATTGAGCGTCCCATATATACATATTTTGGGCACCGGGTAGGGCAACCACTCACGCTCTTTTAAATTTTCTTTTATAAAATGATACAAAAAGAGAAATACATACATATACAGTTAATGCAACTATTTTTACAAAGCAATACTATATCTGAAGCTATAGATTTCTTTGAAAATTTAATTTTGATATAATATTTTTTGCTTTTGTTTTATTTCGATATAACATCTTAGTAATATGAAAGGAGATAAATAGATATTTAAGACGCAATGCTAAAACTAAAATATGTATTTCAAAATTTTCTTTATCTGAGCAAAAATTTTGATATCTGTTCATTTGGGAATTTAGATCTTCAATAGATTAGTATATTACTGCGATTTAATAAGAAATGTAAGTTGGCCCCTGACGACGATTATCCGCTTAACGTACACTTTCTTGGATTGTAAAAAATTTTAAATAATGAAAACATCGACTATTGACTCTAATGATGAATTCTCAACTAGTGAGGAGACTCTATCCGATTCATCCCTCTATTCGGATGATAATAAAATGCAAACTAGGCCTCACAAGAGTAAAGTCGTCATTAATGAAGATGGCGAAGAAGAGTTTGTAGAGGAACTTCCTAAAAAGAAAGGTTTGATACAAAAGATCTTTTCACACCGAAAAACAAGCGATGGTACCGAAAATGAATATTATGTAAAGTTAAGAGGTAAGTCTTATCTTCACTGCCAATGGATGCCGGAGAAAGAATTGCTTGCAAATAAGGCTAAGCAACTCTTGGCTCGATATCTCAAAGTCAATGCTAATAATCCACCAAATCCACCTTATTTCCCTGAAGAATACACAGTACCAGAAAAAGTTATCAGTTCTGAAGAAGTGGAAGGTGTTCCATTCTACATAGTCAAATGGAAAGGTTTAGATTACGAAGATCTCACTCACGAACCATTAACACCGCTCATTCAAGACTTAGTTGATGTATATAACAAAGAAAATGTAGTACCAAGTGAAAAAGATCGCTTTATTCCTCCACATCCAAAGCCAACAGATTTCAAACTGATTACAGCGCATGATCCATCTAAATCTGGTAAGAAGATCAGATCATACCAACTTGAAGGTTTGAATTTCTTCGTTAATTCATGGTATCACAGGAAAAACGCAATTTTGGCCGATGAAATGGGTTTAGGTAAGACATGTCAGGCATCAATCTTCCTCAATTACCTCCACAAGAAGCAAGGTATCAGTGGACCATTCATAATTTTAGCTCCACTTACTACAATTCCACATTGGGAGAGGGAACTTGCTGATTGGACTGATCTCAAGGTTATTGCATTCTTTGGAAGCAAAGATAAGAGAAAGGCTTTGTTAAATTACGAATTCTTCTATCCAGGAACAACAATTCCTAAATTTAACGTTCTTGTTACAACTTATGAGTATGCAATCAAAGAGTCCAAGATGTTTGAAGACAAATTCATTTGGCAATGCATTATTGTCGATGAAGCCCATCGTTTAAAGAATTTTGAATCAAAATTAACAGTTACTATGCATTCTTATAAATCAGAATTCAAATTATTACTTACAGGTACTCCTCTACATAACAATACCCAAGAATTATGGTCTTTGCTTAACTTTTTGGATGAAGAAAGATTTAATGACATTCAGAGGTTCAAAGACAAGTTTGGAGTCTTGAGTGATGCAGAACAAATCACGGAGCTTCAAGCAATCCTTCATCCTTTAATGTTAAGAAGATTAAAAGGAGATGTCGAAAAGAATCTTGCTCCTTTAGAAGAAGTTATCATAGAATGTGGCATGACAAGTCACCAAAGAGCTTATTATCAAAGTATCTATTCAAAGAACATGGAATATCTTCACAGAGGCGCACATTCATCAAATACAACAAATCTTCAGAATATTTCTATGGAATTACGTAAAGTTTGCAACCATCCTTACTTGATTAATGGTGCAGAAGACCAAATCATCATTGAAAGAAAGGCTATGATGAATATTGACCCAGATGTGAAACCAGATTTGACTTTTGAGTACGAATCTCTCATCAGATCCAGTGGCAAAATGATTTTATTAGACAAACTACTGGCAAAACTCAAAGCTAATGGCCACAGAGTCCTTCTTTTCTCTCAGATGACAAAGATGCTCGACATTATCCAAGATTATCTTGTTTACAAAGGCTACAAGTTCGAGAGACTCGATGGTAGCGTTAAAAGTGAAATCAGACAAGGAATGATCGACAAATTTAACGAAGAAGGAAGCGAAGACTTCATTTTCTTACTTTGTACAAAGGCAGGTGGTCTTGGTATCAACTTAACATCAGCAGATACAGTCATTATCTACGATTCGGACTGGAATCCGCAAAATGATTTACAGGCCACGGCCAGAGCCCACAGAATTGGTCAGAAGAAGAACGTTAAAGTATATAGATTACTCACAGCGAAGTCATATGAAAGAAAGATGTTCGATACAGCTGCTATTAAACTCGGATTAGACCAAGCAGTGCTAGAGAACACAAAAGACAAGCCAAAGAACGATGATATGGAGAAATTGCTGAGACTTGGTGCATACTATGCCTTCGAAGAAGATGATGGTTCAGCAGAAAAATTCAATGAAGAAGATATCGACACAATTTTGTCCAAATCCAAGACGATCAAGCACGAACAAGTCGGATCTGCTGAAGGATCAACGTTTTCTAAGCTTACTTTCGACCTGGAAACTGATGATATCGATGTCAGTGCTCCAGATTTCTGGATGAAGTACATGCCACAGGTAAAAGAGGACACAATTCTCGATGACGTACCAATGGCCATGCGAAAACGTTTGCAAAGGGAGTCTTCAATGGACAGCTCCATTTCTGCTGAAGAATTGGCTTCAATGGCCGTGAAAATGACAAGTGACGATGACGATTATAATTGGTCTAAAAAGAAATTAACTACATTGCAACAGTGTTTGACAAGATACGGATGGGGAAGATGGAATGCGATACAGAAAGACTTTGACCCCAATTGTCCATTGCCAACACTCAAAGCTGTTTGCCATTGTTTAGTCAAACTGTGGATAAATCTTTTGGAAGAACCTGATCCACTTCTGCAGATGATTTACGATAACGGAACAAACCAAGAGACAAGTCGCTGGGAAATCAAATTCATGAAGCTGAAAAGAGATGATTTGGCTTCAATTGCTTCAGCTGGTTCCGGAAATCTCCAAAGAATCCACAGATTGAACACAATGCATTTTATAAATATGATTGTTTCCGCTTGTATGAATCCACCTGAAGGATTAGAGATAGGAAATGTAACTGCAGGAAAACCAGCTGATTGGTGGACAGAACAAGATGATAGAGCACTTGTTTACGGTGTTTTCAAGAACGGTTACGGAAATTACAATGAAATACAATTTTCTCAAACAGAAGAATTACAACAGAAGAGTTTAAACAACAGAATCAAAGCAATTGTCAACCAAAAGAAACTTAATTTGATCAAAGACGGAAGCGGACAAGCAGCAATGACAACAACAAAAGGATGGACAAGGAAAGAACAAAAGGCTGTTGTAAGTTCAATTTGTAATTTCGGTTATCCTGATCCTATCAAATTCATGTCAAAAACTGAAACAATTTTGAAATCTCCAGAACAAGTTGACGAATTTGTCAATAACCTGATCAAATATTGCAATGAATTTAAGGAAGAAAAGGATGAACCTGATGCTTCCAACTTGGCTGAGAAGTTGACTTTCTACCAGGCAATGAGAATCCGTAAAAGATACGAATTATTCAAAGCAGCAAGAGAATTTTTGTCAAAATGTGAAGAAGGAAAATTGACAAAAAGTGACAGACGTATTTTAGAAATTTTCTGCGACAAAGGATATTTAGCATCACTTGAAGATGAAGAAATGAAAGGTTTGTTAGGAGAAGATCATTCCGAATCCAAATTAACTAAAAAGATCCAACAGATGCAGAGATCAGGAGAACCACATTCAAGAAACGGAATTTTAACTTTGCATTCATTTGCAATTCCTGATTATAAGAAAGACAAAAATGGTAACCCGATCTTCCCAATCAAAGTCAGCCAGAACTTGATTATTAATTCCATGGGAACAGTTGTTTGGGATAGACCTGCTTTCCACAGCGAGAGATATTTGTATCCTGATGGTTTTGAGACAGAAAGATTGTATCAAAGTTGTTTGGACTTGGATGACAAGATCTGGTATAAATCATCAATCCATGATACTGGTGATGATACTCCTGTGTTCAGAGTTACTGTTCCTAACTCTGATTTGGTTTTCGAAGGCGCTGCACCTTCAAAACCATGGTTATTGGTCATCAAAGCAATCGAAGATCTAAAGAGAGAACAAGGATTGGCAGCAAACAGATCAATGACAATTTCTGGTCCAGATCAATATGGATTGACAAATAACTTAGTCATGCATCTCATGAGAGATATGCCTGGCGCCGAGAAATGCTCAAGATACATTAGACCGAGAGCAGATGATGAAGGAGATGAAACATCAGAGGAAGAAAACAAACAAAAACAAGAAAAACCAACAAGAACTTCTTCAAGAAGAAAATCAAGACCTTCTTTCGCAGAATTAAGTGATGATGATGAAGAAGAATATGAAGAGAGAGAATCTTCTGATTCAGAGCAAGAGCAAGATCAGAAACAGCAAGAAACAGAAAATAAGCCTGCGAGAAAACCATTGATTAAATTGGCAATTAAAAGATCGCAAGAGAAATTGGAGTTGAAGTTTGATTTCACGAAATTGGTTGAAGCTAAAGAGAAAAATGATGCTTCTTTGGTCATTTCAACTCCATCTTTGCTACAGGAAAATGCTATTTCTGCTCCTGTTCCTGCTTTAGCTGATAATAGAATTGAAGTTGCTGTTAAAGCAATGGCTGAATCAATGAATTAATTATTTTTTGTATATTAACTTTTTTTATTATTATTATTTTTGTGTATTAATATATTAATAAAAATGGCATTTTTATAAACATACCTTGAATCATAAGGTAAATATATCCTCCTTCTCTGCAATTAGTCCAAGATTATACATCTCTTTAGTCAAAAGTATTCAAAATCAATTGTTTCCAAAATATATATGTAGGATTTAAATAGAATTGCAATATAAAATCTATTGTAATGTATATATAATTTTGAGGAGATTTGATTTTTCATCATGATGGAAATATAAAAGTGCATTTTACAACATCTTGTCACTTTTATTGTTATTGTTCGAACAAAATTTTGATAAATTGTATATTATATATAATGAATGTGTATTGTGAAGATTCTAAATTTAGAAAAATATATATTATGAGAATTTCGTTTATAATTAATTTGAGAAATAGCGGTTAATCATAATATTTCTTGCATATATATTATGTCTGATATAGACTTGGAATATGATAAGCTGATGCCTATGTATCAGGACTATCATGATACATATACAGCACTCTATAGATTGCATACTTATGATGAAGATGAGCTTCTTCAAATTTATCAGATGGTCAAAACGAACTTGATTGACAAGAATGTGTTCATGCCTTATCAGATATTAGAACAAATAAGCAAGATATTCAAGTATAATAATCGCTATTTGAAGTCGTACTGGTTTATTTTTAAAAAGATTTACGAAGAATACAAACCAGAAAAGATTGACAATATATCAACAGCTTTCAACTACTTTGTATATCAAGAATATGGTACAATATTAAGTTTTCGTAAGAAACCTCGATTCAAATATATGGACAATTTATCAATCAATATTCATGAAGAAAACAATATATTCAGTGCAATAATGTATGATGATGTCAAATCATTTATTGGATTCACGCAAAACGATAACTTTAATGAAAGCCAACAATTATGCACAAGGTATTTATATCCTCATAAAAAATATCAGAGACAATCGGATGTTTATTCATTCATTGAACCATATTGTTATTTGTACCCTCAAATGGATTTTTTTTTCTTTGATTGAACTATGTTGTTATCATGGAGCTGTAAAATGTTTTAAGTTTTTAATGACAGAATTCAAATCAATGTTAACATGTTATTGTCTTAAGCTCTCAGTAAATGTTTGGAAATATGCAAGCCAGATCAGGAGTGTATGAAATTTGCAATTATTTCATATAGCATTGATTTTGTTTCTTATTTGACAAATGAATTTAGTGCTAGCATCGATTTAGATATTTGTGGTCGTTATCAGAATATCCAAGCTTTTTTAGTTTATTTAGATCAAACTAAAGATATTCATCGATGCATTAAATATTCTCCATTATTCCGAATCCAATCACTTGTCGAAATACTTTTATTTCATATTGATTATCCCAGTTCGATTTTTATTGAGCATTATTTTAATCAATATTCATTTGATGTTCTTGATTATGCAATATCTTCTAACGGCGGTGAGATTTTGAAATTATTACTTCCATATTACCAAAAGCCACTTTTATATTGGATGAAAATGGCATTTAAAAACGATTCAACTGATGCAATGAAAGCAATTCTTGAAAATAAAACAATCACAAATTCTATTCTCGAATGGAATTATAAATTGCTTGAACTTGCATTTACATACAATAGTATCAACCTTATTAAATACTTTGCTTCCAATGACATCGCATTTGAAGATTTAAAACCATTGCAGAAATCTAAAAGATTGAATGAAGCATTAATTAAAGGGAAAAAATGTTGTTCAATTTTTGAATATTTGTCATCCATCTTCAATTCCACATTTGTTTGATTATGTATTTGAAAGAAATAATGTTGATTTATTTGAAATTTTAGTTACTCAAGATCCAGATATTATGGCAAAAGATGAAAATGGAAATACTCCTCTCCATATCGCTGCAAAATACGAACACACCCAAAATAATGAAATAGAATATTTAATAAAACATGGCGCAAATATTAGTGCAATAAATAAAAAAGGAAACACTCCACTAATTATTCTCATGAAGAGGAGGAATGCAAAAATCAAGGAAATTGAGTATCTAATTGATAATGGAGCAGATGTAAAAATTGCTAATAAATCTGAAAATACTCCTCTTCATATTGCAGCTAAAAATAAGAGAATAAAAAAGCTCAGTTTGAAAAATTTATTCCTCTTGGTTTAGATATTAATGCAAAAGATAAGTATGGAAATACTCCTCTTCATTATGCAATAATTTCATTCAAAGATCAAAAAATCCAATCATATATTTCACCTGAGACAAATGATATTGATAAGGTAGAAACACTTTTTGCACATGGAGCAGATTCAAACATTAAAAACAATAATGGTCAAACAGCACTACATTTAGCAGTATTGAAAAATTTGCCAAATGTTGTTGAGGATTGCATTTCTCATGGTGCTGATATAAGTCTTCGTGATAATGATGGTGAATGTGCTCTCAGTATTGCACAGAAACATAAATTCAAAGAAGTTGTGAAAATACTCAATTATATCCGAATGCACTCGAATTACAAAATTCCTCTTCAAAAGTCTGTAAACTCTTTGACCAAACGAGTTTCAAAACTTCATTCTTCAAAAAATAAAATATCTTGGGCTGCAACCTATCTTCATCCAAGTGTTATCCGCATTTCTTCAAGAAAGAACATCCAAGAATGATAATTATTGTTTTGAAATTTAAACTTTTTTTATTGAAATCATGCCAAACGTATTTTTATCTCATTTATTACTTAATGATATAACATTATTGAAGTTTTTTATTATAATAACTGACATATCGCCAAAATATTTTAATAATCATATTTTATACACAAATTTATGAAGTTATTACATTTTATGAATAAGTGAATAAAATTTATTTGATAAAAACATAAAACAATGTTAAAAAAAGTAAGTTCATTATAATTTTTATTAAATAACATAAATAAGACTTATATCTGTTGGGAACCGATATAATCTCTTGTAATTCATAATGAATTCTTTATATCAAGTCTGTTTTAATTTTTTTTGAATCAATCAGATAATTTTGTCAATTTTTACTTCACAGGCTGATTGCAACTGAAATTGATTAGAAATTTCTGAATAGTTTTCTAGTTGGTTCATAATTTGAGGCTTATTTTTATTAAATGTTGTATTACTGTCACAGTAAGAACTGTCTAATAATACATTTCCAGATTGGATATAAAACGTATGGTTAACATTGTTATCTGCAATACATGATTGTTCAATCGAAATTATTCCGTTAATTTCTGTGTAAAATATGGAAGATCTTCCTGTATTTCTAATATAGTTGCAGGAAAATATATGTAAAACTATATCCGTCAATAGTTTGAATGGAGTTTCAATATGAACAGCGACGTGGCCTTCTGTTTGCGTGTTATTGTCAATATTTGTATAGTTTATTATTGATTCTGGGTGATAGTTATACATGAAATAGCCAGAATTCACTTTGTTGAAGTTATGACTGATATTTACTTTGGAGATCTGGATAATTCCATTGCAGAAGTAGAGTGCTGGATTATTTGAATTATTATGTCCGTTATACAAGATTGTTGACTCAAAAATTTTGTTAAAATTCAACTGATAAAAGTCTGTTTGTGATGATATCAGTTCTCCTTTGTCTCCACCCTTGCACTGCACGTAGCACACTCTGTTTTGAACAAAATTACCTCTATCTCCTACAGAAACGCATGGATAATTTGCATTTGTTGAACACTGTTTAAAATATGTTGATTCGATTAGTATTTTGGTATCACTACTCGGAGAGTATATATCTATCGCTTGGTCATCTGAACGGTAGTAGTAGCAACTCTTGATGTAAAAATTTTTCATTTGAGAAACTTGTATGACGAAATCAAACTGGGATTCACCTGGATTTGTTACATTGTAGAAATCCTCCCATGAATTTCTTTTATTAAAGTAGCAAAGAATTAGGAAGTTCAAACTTATAATAAATGTCTCAAATTTTAAGGATAATATTGAATGTGAATCAAAATTTTAAAAATACTATAATTTTTATTAAACGACATTATTGTTGATGGATTATATTAAATCGATTCAGAACACATTCAAAAAGAAATCTTTTGAAAAATCCGATTGGGATATATTTGATGTTAATTTTTATTGTAGTCAATTAAATTGAATGGGAAATTTCGATTGATTTTTTAAATCAAATTCGATTCAAACACAAAAAATTGTTTTTATTAACCTTTCAAATATCTTGCTACAGGTAACTCTAATGATTTTCCGATATTTCAATTTTTCTATTTGATGAGGTTTTTACATACCTTTTTTAAAAATTATTCTTTTGTGGATGAAAAATATGAGTAAAGTATTTCGATCTGTAGGTGTCATAATTTTGAGATGGACCAAAAATGGCATTTCATTAAATATATAAATCACAGTTTGGAAAGCAGATATGTCAAAACGAGAATGATTTTGGAGCATTTAATAAATTTATTTAATATATAGCGTTCGATAATTGTAAATCCTCAAAAATGTACGATTTAGATTTGATTTCTTTTAGAAGAATCTGAATATCAAACATTGTTGAATAGAATGGCTGTTAAAAATCTAATCTTCAGCCAATAATTATTGAATCAAGATAATGGAAATTAATGATTCAGCCATTTAATGCTCGTAAAATGGTAGCACACTAATGGATTCTCATATTCATAAATAAACTTATCATTTTATTATATAGTATTGGAGAGGATAGCATTTTTGGCAATTTCTTGAGCCTTTTCTTTAGAAAACAGGGCTTCTACGAGGGCAATTCCGAATTGTAATGATGTACCTGGGCCACGGGATGTTATAACGTTACCATCACGTGTAACTATATCTGTTGTTAACTCTCCACCAGCTTCTTCAATAGGAGTATCAAGTCCAGGATATCTACATCCTTTTCTACCTTTCATGATACCGCATGCTTTAGCAAGAACATAACCTGAAGCTGCGCATATTGCAGCAACAAGTTTGCCGGCCATATCATGGCGCTTGATAAACTCTATGGTATCTTGATTATTAGTAAGGTTGTCTGGTCCTGACATTCCTCCAGGAGCAATTACAAGATCAAATGTTTCATTTTTGATAGAATCAAACATAACATCAGCAACAATTTTGATACCAAAAGAAGCTTCAACTTGTATTTCATTTGTGCATGCAGCAGCAATTTTAACATCAACACCTGCTCGACGAAGAAGATCTACTGGGCACACAACTTCCATCGGTTCGACGCCAGGAACAGCTAATATAATAACCTTTGGCATATTCATTTAAAAAAAGTATGTGTTTGGATTTATTTGAGAATAGTGATTAATAAATTTGACATGTAAACTGATAGATTTATTTTCATGATATCAATTATTAACTTCCTTATTATCTATTTTATATTATTCGCATTCCTAGTATATGTAATGATTTGTGGAACCAGCGACATGCATAAAAATGGCTTTGTTGGAAAAACATATCGATTTATAACAAATATTTTCCCAAATTTCATCCGAAAAGTCTTTTGCAGATGTCTCCCTCAAAATGAAGAAAATGTTAGAGATGGTTGCATTGGTCCTGGCAGCCCATTCAAGTATTCAATTGCAGTTTTCTTCTACATCATTTACATATTCTTCATTATTGTATATTTAGGAAGTGTTTATCCTCATATTAGCGATATTTACAGCTATCCTCAATTTCACAGATTTTTCTCAATATGGGTTCTTCCATGGACATGTGTTTGCTTTTTAATCTTTCAAATAGCAGACCCTGGTGTTATTAATGCCAAAAATGTTAATGGATATCTTAAAATGTACCCATTCGATGACGTAATGTATCGACCAAATATTTGCCCTACACAACACATTCCGATAGTATCAAGATCGCGTTATGATCGCTGGACTAAAAGAAGAATTGCTGTTTATGATCACTACTGCCCATGGGTTTGTGCGCCGATTGGGGAAAGAACTCGAAGAGTGTTTCTTGCCTTCTTATTCTTTACAGTTCAAGCATCAGTTTACTACACATTAGGCTACTTTTTAACTCTTAGATACTTAATTACCACTATGAATGGCTGGCCAGAGCCAAATGTTACCTTATTTGATAAAGTCACAAATTGCATAACGGTTTGTGTGTCACTATGGCCTTATCTTTCATGTGCATTCTTCGCTTTGTTTGTTATTGGACTTTCATTATTTATTTTCATGTGCATACAGGTTTTAACTATTTCCCGTAACGAAACTCAAATTGAAACAGCGAAACTTAAATATCTACGTAAAAAGAAACTCATTCAAAAGAATCCTTATAATATCGGTTTCATAAAGAACTGGAAACAAGTTCTTTTCCCACCAAAAATACCTCTATGTGACCCATATGTTCCTGATATTGATGAAAATGAAATCCTTTATATTACAGGTCTTTTGCTTCTCCCAGATGAAAAGAATCCCGATATTATGACCGTTCAAAAGTCAACTTGGTCACTGAAGCCTAAGGAAAGCGAAAAGAAGGATGATGATCAAAAACAAAAGAAAGAATAGATTTTGAAAGTATAAATGTTAGATTTTTATCATTCAATTGCCTTTTTTAACTCTTTTCCTATTCAGATATGCATTCCTGATATGATTTCTAACTTTTGAATTCATTTTATATAATGAACGATTATTGTAAAGTTATATAAAAAATTACTTTGATGAATATTTTATTGTCATTTTTCCTTGGTGTACTATTTTCATTACCGGTTTTTGTGCTGTTTTTATTACTACTATCATTCTTAACCGGAAAAATCATCAAAAAACGTCGTAATACACTCAGGAAAGAACCTGCATTCACCGTTGGCACAATGTGCACTGTTAGCTGGCTCAATTCAATTGTCCAGCGTGTTTTCTTGATTGCCGTAACAAAGAAATCACTTACATTCATTATCAAATCTGCAATTCCTAAAATTACAGAGAAGACTCCATTAACAAGTCTTGAATTCAATGAAATTGAAATCAAGGAAGTACCACCAGAGATTTCACAGGCAATTATTACAGAAACGAAGTTTTCTGAATTTGTTACACTTAAGTGCTTCTACAAACCAGAAATGGTTATTAGCGCATTGTCAACAGTATCAGTTAGTATTCTTCCAAGCTTCAATTTGGGAATCGATGCTAAACTTAACCAGATTGATGCAGATATCGCCCTTGGCATTCCAGAATCAAAAGGTGATGCTTACATTCAAATGCAAAACTCAACATCTGTTAATTTCGATGTTGGAGCAAGTGTAAAATTTGTCAGCATTAATACTGAATATCTCGGACCTGTTTGGACATCACTTCGCGAAGCTGTCAACTACATCATCAGGAGCATCAAGATCAAGATTCCTCTCGAGCAAGCTCTTACAAATGAAGAAGAAGAAGAAAAAGAGGAAGAAGAAGCCAAGGAAGAGGAAAAGAAGCAGCTACCAAGAAATGATAGTACTCACGAAGTAATTGAAATCCATCCAGTTCCTGTAAAATCAGATGTCAAAGTTATTATTGATCCAATATTTAAATCATATCAATTATAACTTGAATTATCAACATTTTAAAAGGTTTGATTTATTTTCATTGTTTATTTATAATATTATTTCAAATTGAATTTCAAAATATTCTTTCTTGCTCTATATTATCAATGATGAATTTATATCAGTTTGTGTAGATGTATCTATTATTGTATAACAGATTTATAGTACTAAGATATTTACAGGGAATCATCAACCAAAATGAAATATTTAAGGCAAAATATAGGTTGTAAGTTACTCTCTTATAAAATCTTCTTTAGCAGAGACATTTCTATTGATGATCTGGGTATTTTTGAGATAAATTTCGAATTAATTTTTCAAAAACATATTAAGTTAAATTATAATAAGTATTTTATTTCTTCTTTCCAATTTTTTGCAACATGTTTATAAAAAATATAATAAAAAAACTAATAAATAAAAAAAACATAGAAATTAGCGTGAAACTAAGTAAGTGACGACCCTTCCTTGCTTGATCTGGATTTCACCACGCTCTTCGATCTTATACTGACCACCATAAATAAGTTCGTAAACAGCACGAGAGATGTGTACCTTCATTGGTACACCGTTGTGTTCCATTTGTTGAGCCATAACGATGACAGGGCCGAAGATTTCGAATGTTGGCTTTTCAGTACCCAAAACACCAGCAACCAAAGGACCACCAACGTTTACACCGACTCTGATCCTAAGTTTCTGGTTCTGCTCCTTGTCAACGCGCTCTACAGCGTCCAAAGCCTGAAGACCGAAATCAACAGCTTCCTTAGCGTTTTGAACAGCGTTAGAAACTTCAGCGAAGATACCACCAGCAGCCATGTAACAGTCACCGATGCATTTCATTCTCTGCATGACTTGCTGAGAGTTAACAATAGCATCGAAGTACTGGAAGATGATGTTCAGTGTTCCCATGACAGTCTTTGCATCGTTGGAGCCACACCATGGTGTGAATTCGACGATATCGATGAAAACGACTGAAGCAGAAGGAACAGCGAAAGAAATGTTCTTTTCACCACGCTGAACTCTTGGAACCAAAGAAGCTGGAAGGATTGAAGCGAGTAATGTATCACTCTTTGCTCTTTCTTCGGCGATAAGCTTGTTGTACATGAAGTTCTGTGTAACGTTTTGTGTTGTGAAAACGACATTGCTACCGAATGAGTTTGCCTGGATGTTGAGAACCTTTGTATCATTCTTGTGGTTGTACTTGATCTCTGTCTTTCCTGTCTTCGATGTTGCGTCGAAGAGGGCCGTGACATCACCAGAGAACTCACTGGAAGTCAAGAGCTGCTGGAAGTTGTTGTTCTTTGTGAAATCGACATCGAAAATGGCTGAAGAAGCCTTGTTCCAAGAAACAATTTCGAACTGTTGGTTTGTAACAATGACAGAATCTTGCATATCCTGGACGAGCAACTTGTAGAACTGTGCATCACGTGTTGCTGTATCTGTTGATGTCTTTGAGAAGTTACCTGTCAAAATGGATACGATCTGGGAGTTCTGCATAACAGTTGATGGGTTGCAAGAAAGTAACAAACCAAGTGTGAATCTGAGCTTCTTGTCAATCATGTGGAGCTTGTAGATGATGACGCCGATTGTGATGAGAATGAGAATGATGAAGACAAGTGTCAAAATACCAGAGAATGTGATCTCGTGGTTGATGCCACTGTCAAGGGAAGATGAAATTTGTTGTGCGCCTGGATAGAAGAAATCATCAAATAATCTGTAGGCTGTCAAAACCCAGAAGACATCTTGTCTGTCGCTGGCCTTAATTAGACCACTTGTAGCGTTGATTGGATCAACAATTCTGTGCATCAATGGACTCAAGTACCTGACAATGATATCTGGTGAGTAGCAGGCTAAAACCTCTGTCAAATTGGCCGGAGGTTTTGTAATGTTGCAACCAGCGTTTTCGATAGCCTTTGTTGCGAGTGTTTCGAAGTGAGGGAATGGGAGGGATTCTCCATCACCGAACCTGATCTTGTTGTAGTAAACGTACATTGTCTGGAGAACTGTGTTTGCCTGTGTTGTCAATCCTAAGATAAAGTCAGACTCAACAGCTGGATGTCCGTTTGCGACACCAATGATTTGGTTGACAGACAATGCAAGCAAAGTGATGTAAGAAGCAGTGCCAAACATGTTGTTTGCCTGTGGAGCGTTCTCTTTGATGAGTGTGCCGATTTTCTCGTACAACAAGAAGAGAATTGTTGTGTAAGCAATTGAGCAAAGCATGATGAAGACGAATGCAATTGCAAGCTGTGCGAAATCACCAACAGTTCCAGATGAATCTGATGCAGTGACGAAAATCTTAAGCAAGTTTTCTTCTTGCTTGTTTCTTTCGCCTTCAGATTGTTGTGTCTTTGTGCCTCCTAAGTCTGTGTTCTTCTGCAACTGTCTCAAGTTCTCGTTGATAGAAGAAACGACGTTCTTTGGAAGGGACATCAATGTCTTGTAAATTGCTGTCTTATCATTGTTAAGTCTCTTCCATGAGATAGCAATGATTGCGACGAAAACAAGCAATAAGAAAATAGCAACACCAATGATGCACCAGAAGAAGATCTTGTTCTTTGAGTTGATGTCATCATACATGTAGCTGACAATGTGTTCAATTGAATCAGTAATAACTGTGACAACGTTCAATGCGTTGACAATTGGATTCTTGAACTGAGATTGAGCCAATGTATTATTGGTGATGGCCTGCTTTGTGTCAGCAATTGTTGATGCGCAGACAGAGAAGTCACTGATAGCGGACTGGAGGGATTTCTTGGAGTTGTTTGTTGGAATTCCATCATTGTAAGTGATATAATTAATGGAATCTGTGAAAATTGTTGTTCTTACATGATCGAATTGTTCTGTTCCACGTCCGTATTCTCTGAAATCGTTCATTGTGATTGATTCGACATTCTGCATCTGGAGAAGTGCTGACAACTGGAGAGGAATGCTGGATGTATCCTTGAAGGCTGTGCACTTGTACTCAGGAAGTTTATTGTTGATTGCGGCTGGCCAATAAGAGAGGTTGTTGTAGACATAAGCCATGGAAAGTGTTGGAATCATGGATACGTAATATCTGGAGAAGGCAAGAGCATCGATAAGCTCGGCTGGCTTACGGATACTGGATGAATATGTCTTTGCAACAGCTAACATGGCAATTGCACCGCCAAAGAAGATTATTGAGACAATGAGACAGATGGCAATGACCATTCTGATGGAAGGAATCTTAAGGTTGTCGATAAGCTCCTTAATGGCACGTGAATCTTCTAATCTCTGCTCATTGAACTCTTCTTCGTTTTCAGAAGTCATGAGGATGGAGCCGGACATGTCACTCATCATGTTCTTGTTGGCATTCTCGGCCTGGTTCCATGCGTTGACTGGTAAAAGTGGGAAAGCATGAAGACCAAGTTCTTGGGCATGATCGGAGTGAACTTGGATACCACGGGACATCTTTCTTGTCTGTTCAACAACTTCTGTATAGCCTTCTGCATCGTTCTTGACTTCATACAAATAACGGCTATAAGATCTGAAAATGAACCTGTTGTTTGGATACTGGGTAAGGAGAAGAGCGAACTGGGAATCGGACTTAAGGATACTTTCATAAGCGTTAGAAATGGCTGAATCCATTTCACCGATGTTGCCTTGAATGACCTGATCCCAGATGTGCCTCAGACGACGCTTGCATGCACCTGTTTCCTTGGAAATCTTCTCGATCTTGCGCTTGAGTTCGGCTGTAAGGTTCATTTCTCTCTGCTGGAAGATAATCATGGACTGAGCAAGACATTCCTTGACGAGTGTGCCATGGAACTTCTTCTGATCAATTGTTCTTACGATGAACATGTGTAAAGATGAAGCTTCGGGGTAGATGGCGACAAATTTACCAAAGGTAACCCAGTATGCTGGCTCATCTGGCCACTGTTGTGTGATAAACTTGAAGAGAGAGAAATCGATGGAGACTGGGTGCGCGTAGTTGAAGCCAATAACTGCTGCCTTCATTAATTTCTTCGGGTTCGAAAGTTCGTGGAGAATACTGTTATCGTCGTTAATATCATCAAGAAGCATTAAGTTCTTGTTGACCTGGCGACGTGTGATGAAGAATGATATAAATGCGCAAACAGCGAAGACAACGAACCATGCTAAGACAGTGGCTGTTGACATCTTAACGCTAACGAATATCAAGATAGCGAATATTGTGTGAGCGAGACCACCAAAAATACCATGGGTGTAGAACATGGTAGTATGGGTGAAAGATACAAGGGAAAATGAATTTACGCATGTCCAGAATGTGCTGAGGCATCCAACTGCTTGTAAAAGTTCAAGAATGCCTTGAGGTATTTTTGTCAGATAAGTGTTGATACCACTGAAAAAGCCAATTAACGCGATAGAATAGATGATAAGCATCTGTGTGAAACCGTTAACGCAAAGGAATGATGTTGGTCTGAACAAGAATGAGTACGAATAAAGTGTTCTGAAGAAAACACAGTAAAGGGCATAGGTAATGACCGTAAGGATAATCGTAACGACATTAAATGGTGTGGAGAAATTGGTGGTTTCCTTTGCAATTAACTTTGAAATAACCTCACAGCAAATTTCAATAGCGGGGAAGTGCATGAGGTAACCGAAAGTTGAAATGAATATGTTAATTATATAAATTGGGGCCTTTCCAATCTTACCACGCTTTTGGTAGTAGTAAGAAGCCGTTACCAAAAGGATGAAGAAACAGAAGAACATGGCAAAATAGATAATTGCGAAGTAGAATGATGCTTGATCGCGATATGTAATTGGAACGATGTTCCAAATAATGGAGAAAATGTTTAAGAATTTGAAAATGTAAGTGTCTCTGTCATAAAAATTGAAGTAGTTAGAACAAAGTATGGGTCCAAAGAATTGAATAAGACGCCAGAAAGAAATGATGGAATGTAATGTATACCATGATGGAACCATTGAGTCCATGTATACAAAAAGGAAAGAAATCATGTTCCGTAATTTCTTGATCTTGCTGCTATGTAAGAGACCTTTATATTTATATGTTGCTGAAAACGCAGATGAGAGCATTTTCGAGTGCTCACTCGAAGCGTTTTCAGAGGCGTGCATCTAAAAAAATTTAAAAAAAAATTGATCGTTAATTTTTAACTTCTGAATATAATTGAAAATAACAGAATTAATTGAATTAGACTTTATAATCATTGTGTTAAAACATCCTTCCTAGTATGATTTTAATAAAGAATATAAAATAACGTTTTGGGATTAAATAATGCATAGAAAAGTTTTAAAAATACGTTTTTTTTAAAAAAGATAGATTAGAATGATTTAATATTATATAATAATATATTAAATTGAAAGTACCGTAGGTTGAATAGCCCGAGACCAATTTCAAAGGTCGTGTATCAATAAAAAATTTTGAATCAATTTACACAACGTGCCCATTTTACTCACTCAATATTTGAGAAAATAATTCAATTTTGAGAAGAATGGTCCTCTGCGTTTTGAGTGAGTGACGAAAAAAATCGCAGAAAAATTGAATGAGTTTTTATGGCCATGAACCAAATTTGTGAAGTTCCCGTTTAAAAAAAATGCAACCAAGAACACGAATTCCCGAGTTTGCAGAATTAGAAAACTATAAAAATCTTGGGCTATTGACCCAGATGCAACTCGATTTACTTTATCGAAGAGTAAATGGCGAGTCTTATCAACAAATACGGAATGTATACTCAATTTCAAAGACGACAGTAGCACGCGCAATCATGCGCACTGCTACTTGTCGTTCATGGACAAAAGGTCAGTCAGGGGGTGGTATGACCCTTTTGTCACTACCAGATGAAATGCAGTTCAAAAAACTTGTTCAAGAGATGGCAGACGACTTGAACTGTATTACAACATCAATGGCCATTGCTGTCTGTACGGAATTACAAAATAGGAGATTAAAATTTGCGGCGCGGGTACTAATCGCTGCAAGATGCCCGCATCTTTTAGCGAAGCTCGATGATTACTTCCCATCGCCATCCCGTGGCTGGCTTAATCATATCGCCACAAGATTGTCAATTCGGATTGTGAGCTCCCAAACTATTGATATGCTCCGACGCTCTACCTGTAGATAGATTACATATCAAGTGTAATGAGGCACTGCGTTCCACCTTACCCATTATATGTGAATTTGACACTTTACAAAACCGTTAACATATATTTTACAACACGAACGCAAAAACTAACTTAACCTTAAATATTTACAAAACCACCAACCACTTCACCTCACTAACGTTTTCACAAACGACTTCACTAATGTAAAAAATAAACGTTCTCACTTACAAAAGTATTGCAACTCCTCCCATTGCTGTGCTTCACATAACAGCTCATAATCTTCTGACTCACTTTCTTCTTCATATAGGTCAAAATCACTGTCAAAATAAATGTTACTAAGTTTTGACAAAGCTAATGAAACACGCTTACCGTTTGTATCGTATGCTTGTATAAACTTTCCATTATGTTTGTAGTCATAAACGCTCAAACTAACTTTACCCTTTCTCCCTCGTATCTGATAGAATGTATTTTCACGAGGAACGAAGAACAAATTCTTGAACTCATGACCATTGTAGTTTGTTATCTCAATAGTTTTCGTCATTTATATAAAAATAAAATAAAAAAATAAAATAAAAATAAATGATATCACCACCCTCACACGTATGAAAACATAGCACAAAAATAAATTTAGGGTAGAAGGTTAGATCTAACCCGATATCTAACCCGATAACTAACCTTGTGAATTTACACCAAAAATAAATTTAGGGTAGAAGGTTAGATCTAACCCGATTTCTAACCTCATTTCTACCCTCTTGAATTCATTGCTTTATAACTCTCTTCCTTGGTTTCTTTTTAGTTGCTTTCTTCACGTCTGTCTCCAACTTGACTGTCTTTCTTCTTCGTCCGTAATGATACCAGTTACTTCCACCAGTCAATGGGTCAAATGGTCTTTCGTAAGGGTTTCCATACATTCCATAGGGACCATACGGAAGAACTACTGGTGGAGAAGAAACATTTTCTTTAGTTCCATTGAATCTATTTAAATGCATTGTTTCACCTTTCATCTGGTCATTAAAGTCTTTTGCGTGTTTTGCAAACTCATCGTCCTTTCCTAAAGCATTTTCTGACTCAGTCGCAACTAAATTGGATGCTTTATTTATGAGCCCTATTTTATTTAATCTTAACTTCTTTGCAACCCAGCCTCCAATCTTTCCTTTATTTGCATCTAATGTCTTCGAAACCCTTCCTCCACTCATTTTATTTACTGCGTCATAAGCTCCAAGTGCTTTTGCTCCAAATGCTAATGCTTTTGTTCCCATTGCGCCTAAAGCTGCCCAAGCTGCCATTTACACCATATTAAAATCATCTCTCTTCAATATTATCTCATAAAAGTTCTCGTTACTGGAGAAAGTCAATGAAACATAAACGTTCTCACGGGCTTCGCCCTCACCGCTTTGCGGTCTATCTAACTTCTTTCTTATCTCATCTATACGCTTCAAAATGTCTGAACAATTGCTAACATCTTCTACAACGGTTATTTCATCATGAATGACCTTCAAGAACAAGCTCATTTAATATGCTATTAAAATCATCTCAATAATGAGTCCATCCTTTCCATCTTTAGGTAGCACAACATCTTTCATTGAAGAAGGTTCGACAAGTCTTATGTTAAACTTACTGACAAAGTTTGTTATACTATAATGCTTCGGCGGCGAATACATGTAGTTTGAAAGACATAATATAGATTCTTCAGCAAATTCACTTATACTGGATTTTATAACAATGTTTTCACGAGACCAAATACCACCAATTGACAATCTTGTAAGCAATCCTGCTGAACCTTCTACTGTAAACGTCGATGGTAACATTCCACGAAGGTCATCTATTGACATCTTTGAGTCACTGTATTTAAATATTTTCTTAAAGCAATCGTCATTATCTAACCATGCAATAGCTTTGAAGTTTTCATTCGAATATACATCTGCTTCATTAAATGTAAAACCTGACTTCTTTGCAGAGACGACTTTAAAATCTATTGAGTTTGTTTCAAAATTATATGCTATGGTAACTTCTGAAGGTAATGGATGTCCTTCCGCAGTAAGTTGTTCTCTCACTACCGTTTGAAGCTTTGTGTTAAAAACTTTCATGTCATCTCCTGTATCTAAGTTCACATACACAGCAACAGGAAAACTATCTTGCTTCTTTGTTTCATCATTATACCTCAAAACATTAAAGTTCTTCAATAATATTGTTCTTCCTGCTGGAATACTTCTAACTTGTCTTATTTCAATAGCTTTCTCACCTCCTACATACTCTACCCAGTGTCTTGGATATTCATAAGTATACTGACTTTCTTGAATTTTGGTAGGTTTCATCATAACGTGTTCATAGTATATCTTTATACTCTTGTCAGTTAGACTCGGTGCTATGTTCTGAATATTTCTGACTTGCATTTTTAATTATAATAAAATGAAACATTTATTTGAAGAAGTAGATGAAGACATGAATGAAACTACAGACAAACTTAACTCTTCTCTTATTCTTCCTTTCAGTAAGGACTATGAGTTCTGTTCAAATGGTGTGTATTTCTATTGTGGAAAGATGGGTTCAGGTAAGACATTTAACCTCATTCGTCATATACTCATAACAGAGCGTTTAGGAAACGACTCTTACTATGACCAAATCATTATATCAGCAACTTCAGACTCTATGGACTCAACAGCGAAAACATTTATGTCAAAAGTTCAAGCCTCTGTCGTTAAAATTCCAGACAGTGAACTCATTGAATTTCTTCAACGTTACATTCGACGTAAGAGGAAATATTATGCCATCGTTGAATTTATACAGTCAGGAATGTAAAAGACTTCTGAGGAGATGGAAAGAATTATTGACAAACACCACTTACGTCAATACTCAGGAGTTTACGATATGAAACGACTTACAAACTACATTCTATCAAAACTTTCAAAATACCCCTTCAAAAAATATCCTTCAAACACTCTGCTCGTTTACGACGACTTCGCCGGAAAAGGTTTAGTTTCAAAACCAGACTCACCATTAGCTAACATCATTACTAAAGTCAGACATTACCATTTAACTGTAGCAATACTTATGCAAACATGGAGGTTTTTAGCTTTAAACATAAAACGTCTCATAACTGACTTCGTTATCTTTCAAGGTTTCTCACGCTATGATATTGAACTCATTTGGAAACAGTCAGGTATAATATTACCTTTTGAAGAAATTTGGGAAGCATATAAGTCTCTCATCTCTCCTTGTTCATACCTTGAGATTCATATCATGACTAATACCATTAAAGTCAAAAATATTCCATGGGAACGACCAACATTATTTTAAAGCTTAACCTTCAATTGACTGATGGTAAACAAATTCCATGCATCTCTGTCGCCATTTCTGTTAATATTTTTGCTGTCATTCATATCATCCACTTCTCCATCCGTTAACTTTTGAGGATATGTGTTAGAATAGCTGTTCTTAAATGAAGGCTTTTCACCTTTGAGAGCATAAACTCTATAACTTTCTGCATACTTTATGTTTGAACCTCCTGAGCCATCATTGACATAAATTTTTATAGGCTTCCACCCTTTGTTCATGTTCCTGCTTCTTCCCTTAGCTCTTTTGTTCAGTAGTTCTACATCTTTATACACAGCACCTGTCTCAGTGAATTCAACAATATTTTCATTCGTTAGCTTTACATTCAAACCCTTGTCGAGTATATTGTTCATTTCATACATATAAAAGGTTTTTATTCTATATGAAATGAGAAGCAAATCCATCTTAGCTGGTGCCGTTAATGTTCCAATTGAACCAATATCAAATGTTGACTCACGAACGACAAACAATATTGTCATAAAGAACTATAGTTCGGAGTGTTTGAAAGAAAAAGAACCAGATCTTAAGTCGGTGAATTTAAACTCAGCTTCAAACGCTAACGCTACATCAGATGTTAAGTTAGAGTATCCACCACTGGACCAAATTCTTTCAAGAGAAGCCAACGACAATCCTTACACAAATTTTCAAACAAATCCTTCAGATAACGTAGACCATTACCTTCTTCAGTTATATCAAACTATCTTACTCAAAGACGATAAGAAGCTTTTGACAAATCTTATAAGCAAGAACCAAATAATTCTAACAAAGGAGGACCTTGAAAATGTTATATCACGAATAACAGGAAAGCAATGTGTCATTGACTATCTCGACCCTGAAATCGAATGCTGTGGTCAAACTCCACTATTCATGAAAATAGGTAATATTAGAATAATCGAAACACCAGGAACTACAGGAGTTGAGTTTAAGTATAAATATTCGAACGAGTATACAAAACTATCTACTGACTATAAGCTTTGTTTGAAATATGTTTTAGTAAATTAAAGCAGTCAGGACCTTCGGTCTTGGCGCTTTGCGCCGTCAGTCAGTCAGTCAATGACTGACTTAGGTTAGTCAAAAAAATTTCAAGTTAGCAATTTGTAATATCTATCCAAAACTTCTTCAACACTATCGAACTCATCTTCATAATGCAAACCTAATCTTATTGACTTGGTGCAGTTTTCACTAACACAATATTTTTCTGTTCTCTTGACTGACATAACTAACTCATTTGTTTCATCAAACAGCAACAACCAAAGTTCATGACCTAATACATAACATTCATACTTTATATTTTTAGCTCTGAGTTCTCTTGTAAGCTGTTGCATTTAATATTATCTAAAAAGTCAACTTCAACAGTCATTCGCACTGGTGCCTTCAGTTCTACAGGCTCTCCTTGAAAGTCAACAAGTCTGAATTGCATGTCTTTCAAATTATGAGGACTAATGCGAACCCATTTACCTAAATGAGTTGCTATGACAGGAACATTTGGAATGAACATTGAATTGACTGCATAACAGAAAGACTTATATTCTACTGAACCTTTACTATTAACTCCTGAAATACCTGTGACATTAGCTATTTTTGACTCAATGTACAAACAGTTGCCATAACATACATATGGAACAGATTTCATCTCAATCGTTTTGTCAACACTTTTCAAAGGAAATGTCATATGGTATGCACCTAAAAGAAGTTGTACTCTATGACTCATTCTTGGTATCTTAAACTCTTTCTCGCTGCTGAACTTCAATGTTCCCTCAGAAGAGAGTTCGACATCTATGTTGTCAATAGTTTCTTCATCTATGAGAGTATCTATGACTCCAGCAATTTTATCTATTCTATACCCAGCTCTGTTAGGAAATGTTATAACACTTCTTTTGTCATCTATTTCAATCTCTATGAAATCTGTTTCATCTGTTATGACAAAAGTTGCGATAGTATTGAAGTCAACAACTCTGAAAGCAAGTGCTTCATATGGAGTTCTTCAATACCAAATCGGAAAGATATGGGCAGTACTTGGTGAAGAAGCTTTAGACGGCGTTAAAAATGCTTTGAACTTCATTTCAAATGGTTCGGATACTATTAAAACTTTATCTGGTTGGATGCAAGAAACAAGGAGTCAAATAGATACTGTAAGACGTATAGCAAACAATGCACGTACGGGATTGGATACTTTACGAGAAGCACAAAATACACTAAAGGAAGCAAATGATATTCTTGGCTCAGTATCAGACATGCATGAAGATTGGCTTAAAGGCATTGACAAATCTTTAAAAAATCACAGTCAGTCTATTGCTGACTACAAGAAAAGTATAGATTTTTTTCCATAGTGCTATGGACGTACATGATGGAAGCATAAGGAACTTACTTAATGCTAACAATAACTTACCAGGAACTATTAAAGCATTTATAAAGTCCTTTGTAAAACCTGGTGCTCTAACATTTAGGTCTTTGACAGCAAGAGCATTGAAGTCAAGAGATGCAGAAACTCCAACAGAACCTACAGAAGGAACTGAAACAACAGAAACTCCAGAAGAACCACCAAAACCAACAGCTAATGAAATATTGTTCGAATATTTTCCAAGGTACTCTGTTCTCATTGCATACATTCAAGAAATACTTAAGAAAGCAGACTTGACTTTAGGAGATGATGAAAGTTCTGTATATCTTTCGTTCCAGTTTCAAATAGCAGAACTTTTGAGACAGATATGCTTAATGTATGACAACATCTCTGATTTCACAAGATATGATGACGACCATGACCCCGAACACGGTGAAGAAGAAGTTTTACAAACATTCATTAAGACAGGAAAAGTTTTAACACAAAGTCTCATTATTGACACCGAAGATGGTGAAGTGGATGTTCTTCAAGAGCTGAAGAAAAAATACTTCTGAGGAGGTGGTGGTAGGCATGAACTTGAAATAAATGAGATAGAAGAGAAATTAGCCGAAAAAGCAGATAAAAACCATGTTCATTATATAAGTTCAGATGAACAGATTATAACGGACTACCACGGATATTTAATACAGGATGAACAAATAAGCACTGAAGATGTTAATGAAAGAAGATATAAATACATTCGTGCTAAAGGTTATGACATACACTGTACTGTACAGTATGACACAGGTAAAGCACCAGAAGCATTTGGTTATAACAATGAAATATATGCTTCGTATATCTTTGTTAACGGTGTATTAGTTGAACCAAGATTTACATTGAGAGTTAAGGCAAAAATAACTTTTGAAGATGCTATTAAAAGTAAAGCTGACAAAGATGAACTTGACGCAACGAACAAAGTTTTGAAATCTCATAAACACAATATCTCCGATATAAATGAACTTCAAGCTACATTAAATAGTAAAGCTGACAAGAACCATACACATGAATCCTTCACTACTGTTAGAGCAGACGACATAATATTGAACTATACCCTTGGTTCAAGTGCACCTTTAGAGAATCCAAGTTACAAGCGTAAAAGATACACTAAACTCCTTAAATAACAAATGTATGAACATTGAAGGTCATGCCAGAAACTTTGAAAACACATGAACTACCAGCAATGTTAGATAAAAAAGCAGATAAAGAAATACACATAACTCCTTCTCAACTGTTGCTATAGAAAGTATTGAAGGAACGGTTGGCGGAACTGGTGGGGATGCATTATATTATAAACCTCCTAACTTTCCACAAGGTTTAACATCGAATGAAAACATAACAACGAAGAAAGAAATTAGCTGTAAAAATGTTTATGTCATGGATGATGAAAATAATGTTAAATTCACTGCTCAAGATTTATATGATAAGAAAGCAGACAAAACAGAGCTTCAAACATTAAAGACTGAAATACTTCAAACATTATATCCTATAGGCTCTATTTATACGTCAATGAACTCAACAAATCCAGCAAGTGTTTTAGGTTTTGGTACGTGGCAGCAGATTGTAGACAAATTCTTATACTGTGCTAACTCTTCAAAGCAAACAGGAGGTTCGAAGAAAATTACTGAAGCAACTTACCTGCGCACACTCATACAGGAACTACAAACTTTTCTGGCGACCATAGCCACTCATTAAGAGACCACCCATTATACAACTCAGACTATAAAGCTGCAATGACGTTTTATCTCCATCTTATAACAATTCAGCAAAAAGACTTTTCGACCAACTGAACCAGGAGGAAATCATGTCCATACTTTCACAACAAATCCAACAGGCTCGGGTGCAGATTATATGCCACCATTTGTGACTATATTCGCATGGTACCGCGTTCAATGAACGCGCTTGAGCCTTGAATAAAATCTTTAACTTTACATAAATGAGCTTGAAAGAAGTATTCGAACAACATCCATGGAGGTCATTTAAGAAGTTCAATGAAGCTGCAAAGAGTTGGGGATTTACTAACAGAGCTGAAGTGAAAAGGTTCTTTGACAAAAATGTTGTACATCAAACAAAAATAAACCCTTACGACTACTTTTTACCAATTTACTCCAACACTCCTGACGCATACCAATTTGACACTCTCATTCAAAGCAGAAAAGGAGGACATAAACCATTCCTCATCTTCATAAATGTTAACACTCTCAAAGCTTTTGCGTATATAATGAAAAATAAAGGAACTCGTGAAGTGTTAAGAGTTTTACAAAAGTTTGTAGCAGAACATAACCCAAGTACTTTAACATCAGACCAAGACAGTGCATACCTCAGCAATGAAATCACAGAATTTCTCATTAAGCATAACATAACTCACTACACTACTGAAGACCATAACCATAACATACTCGGCATCATAAACCGCTTCATAAGAACGCTCAGAGATTTAAACCAAGAGCGAGACTTTACCGAAGAAACAATGAAACATTTTCTCGAAGTATATAATTCCTCAACACATTCTACAACAGGACATACACCAAATTCAATGACACAACAACAAGAAGAAAAGTATATACAAAAGAAACGAAGTCAAACACTAAATATCAGAAATTCAACACAATTTACCCTCATTCCTGGTACAAAAGTTCGTGTAGTTCTTGACGACAAACCGTTGGCAAAGAAACATTTAAGGTTAAGTCGAAATTATTATATCGTAGACTCTACGCAAGGTAATGGATATCTTATAAAAGCTGCTGACGACTCCATAGCATTTTACCCTCGACATAAATTAGTCGAAAGTAGTAATGGCAAACTTGCTGAAACCATTGACGAAGCAAAGCGAGGAGTGGTTATTGAAATACTTGGCTATAACATAAACGATGACACTTATAAAGTAAGATATGAAGGAGGCGTTGAAGATGTTATACCATCTAAGAACTTGAGAGAATCTAAACCAACTCATCTGGGACCATTAGAGCGGGAGTACTGGAAAGATAAAAACATGCCAGAAAGAATAAGAAAATTCTTCTAAACTTTTTCATTAGATGTAAATCAGACATGAACGAGAACAGTCATGATATCATTAATGGTACCATTTATTTTAACATTAAGACGCAAAGCGGCGGGGCATAGCCCATGAACAAAAATAATTTTTAGGGTAGATGGGTATATCTAACCTCATTTCTACCCTCATTTCTACCCTCATGAATTTCCATGAATTTCCTTAAGATAGAAAAAATAAAGTTAGTTTTATTTTTATTTATTTTTTTATTTGGTATGTAAGAACAGAAATGTCAGTCGAAGCAAAAACATTCACGAACAAATCTAATGGCGAAACATTCACAAAAGGCACTTATAACGGTATTGAAGTCTTACGTAGAGACATGGATGGTTACATTAATGCAACAAATATGTGTCAGCAGTTTAGGAAAGACTTTAGAAAGTTGTTGGAAAATAAGTCCTGGGAAGAGTATTATAAGGCATTTTTGTGAAGAATATAGCAACCGCCGGAATTCGGACTGTTGCTTTTTATACAAAATTTCATGCAGGAAATTCTTGAGTTTTGATTGAAAGAATACGGTCAAGCCAAAAGTGGCTCGACCTCAAAACAAGCATTTTATGAGCTTACTAAGGGCGTTATAAATGAATTCAAAGGTATTTAAATACATCCTGACCTCGTTCATTTTGTTGCTGAATTCAGCAAAAATAATGTTTAGGGTAGATGGGTAGATCTAACCCGATATCTAACCCGATTTCTACCCTCATGAATTTTCATGAATTTCCTTAAGATAGAAAAAATAAAGTTAGTTTTATTTTTATTTATTTTTTTATTTTGTATAAAAGATATGATTTCAACAATCGGCACAACAACAATTCAAACAACAGCACCAAACTCGTTAGTCATGAATCCAACATCTATGTTAGTAGAGATGAAAAGCTTCATTCCTTCTTAATTTACTTTCGAAACAGAAATACAAAGAATAAAGCAAGAACTTTTAACAAGTAATTTAGATTGTACCGCACAGGATGAAGAAAATGAAGAATATCTTTATGACATGCAGGACATTATTGACCATTTACCCAAATTGCCTGAAATCCAACAACAAAAACTCACTATTCATGAATTCGATGAAATAGAAGTGAAACCAACTGACTCAGTAGAAATAAAGAAGTTCATACGTAAAGTAAACTATGAGTTTCTAGGATATCATTGCAACCATAAAGTTATGGACAAAGATTGCGACATGGTATATAAGAACATTTCAGATATTTATAAATCGGGGAGTTTAAGACATACGACAACTTTGTTTCATTAGTTGCAAAATGTGTATGGCAGATAAGAGATAAAAGATAGAAGAGGTAAAGTATGGCATGAACAGATAAAACCAACTGCTTCAGATTTAAAGAAAACCATTGACGCTTTAGTTATTTTAGCAGGTAAGGTTTCAGAATATAACGCAAAAATGAATCCGCAATGTTCTAAATGTAAAGCAGCAATGAGGAAATATAACTACTCCGTCAAAGAGATAGAACGTATGCGAAACGACTATGCTGACTTAAAGAGGGAGGCAGAAAAACCAGCAGAAAATAAAATGAACATGTTAGAATTTCTGAATAAAAACTATCCCACAGCCGATGATTTCCTTTTATCTGATGTCAAGAAGAAGTATAAAGAAACCTTCGGCATTGTTAAAATTTTTGATATATTAACTGAAGAAATAGAAGCTACAAAAATATTTAAAATTTCACGAATTCATAACGTATACCATGTGAAACGTTTATAAAATAACTGGGGTAGAAATGAGGTTAGATATCGGGTTAGATCTAACCATCTACCCTAAAATATATTTTTATTGAATTCAGCAACAAAATTCTGAGTAAAATAATTTTAGGGCATGTGTCAAACCGTTGAGTTTTCACAAAATTCCAAAAATAACGTTTACCATGTGAAACGTTTATAAAATAACTGGGGTAGAAATGAGGTTAGATATCGGGTTAGATCTAACCATCTACCCTAAAATATATTTTTATTGAATTCAGCACAGAAATAATGAATTTCATTAAGACAGAAAAAATAAAGTTAGTTTTAATTTTTATTTATTTTTTATTTTGTATGTAAAGACAGTAATGTCAACATCAGAGAACACAACAACTGCTATCGTTCATGAAGCCATAAATGAAGAATATGAATACATACAGTATAACAAACAGTTACGTCTCATTCGTTCGGTCAAAGACGATATGTACCAAATGCAAAGTATAATGAATGCTCTTCGTTCTACAAAGCAATCATATCATTGGTTTGAAAACCAACAGACAAAAAAACTTTTAGAAGAATTTCCTCATATGATTGCTTCCCTCGGAAAACCGAGAGAAGAGATTCCGTACGAAAATCGCAAGAATTTGGCTCCTGGTTTGAAAGGTTATTATGTTCATAGACTTTTAGTAAACGCTGTAGCAATGTGGGCTTCACCTCGTTATGCTTGTTATATTTTCATGATGTTAGATGAACTATATAAAGCAGAACGTGGAGAGATGGAAAAGAGACTTCAAGCAAAAGATGAAGTCATTGAATCCAAAGACAAAAGCATACAGAAAAGAATACCGCGTTCAGTACCAAAAGGAAAGGAAAAGAGTTATAAGTATATGATATATACTGAAGAGTTGGAGAAAGAAGAAGACAGAGATATGGTTATGTTGCATTTAGTGAGAAGAAACAACAAGAGCTTTTATGACTTAGCTAAGATATATAAATCTGACAGAAACTGGTTCTATCGTGAAAACTTACCGATTTCAATGACACCGAATGAGCAAATAAAGGAAATTGTCAAAAATACTCTTCCTCAAACACACTATGACATCAAAGGTTGCACAATACTTACATTCAAAGAAGACTTAACATTACTGAAGGAAAAAATAACAGAATATTTCGATAACTTCAAAGAGGAAGAAAAAAAAATCTAAGCTAATTTTTATTTTTTTATAAAATTTTATCTCATATGAAAGAACATGAATTTAGAATATTCGGAACTCATGACAGAAGAAGAGAACGAACAACATGTAAAAGATTATGCAAAATTTCTGAAGACATACAAAGCATTTAAACAATATCTAAATGCTTCTAAAGATTATGCAAAATTTCTGAAGGTATATAAAGCTTATGAAAAAGCGTATGAAAAGTTTATACATTGGGGAATTGTTGTAAAATATCGATATGAAGACTAACCAAAAATATATTTTTGCTTAAATAGCTTCAGGGTCTATTTCTTCAACCATTTCACTTCCTTCGTCAATGTCAATAGAAGCTTCTTCAACCTTTGGTAAGAATTCTGTATATAACATCTTTGTTCGTTATTGTCTTCAGAGATGAAGGATAATATTTCACATTTGTTTCACCTTTCTTATATTCTTTCTGCTGCGATAAATCTAAAACAATACTGAAGAAGTCAATGTTAGAGTTCTTTATAACAGTATATTGAGTATCTTTGACATTCACGAAGAAACTCTTTTGTTTCAAACTACTGCTAACTCTTGTGAAGTATAACGTTTGCGGTCAATGACGATAGCTAATGGTCTGACATACTGACCAAACTTAGATTCTTTCACAAACTTCTTGTTAAAGATAACATTAACATTTGAAGCATTATTGAACTCATTCTTGATGGCAGTAGCGAGAGCATTGTATGAAAAGAACTTGCAATCTTGCATGTGTTTCATTAAAATAAAAATATTAAATTATTTTGAAAAATAACTTAAAAATCTAATCTAATTTTTTCAAAAAATATTTTTATTTCCTACTAAAGATGTATCGGAAGTTGTCTAAGTTAGAACACTCGGAAATAAAACAACTTCTTACAGAAGCTAACATAGATGTTGCAAAGCATTACGCAACAAACAAAAAAGCACTCGCTGACTTCATTAAAGACTACAATGGTGAAATAACTTATGATAGAATTCATGAGTTCATAAAGCCGCAACGCGGCGAGGACGAAGTCCATGCAAGAACTTTTCCTTTAAATGACATTGCTATTGACTTATATCATATAGACGTTCAGTACCACATGAAGTAAGAAGAGAAATGTTTGACATAACAAATGCAAACGTTGGTAAAACACGAAGAGAGACGACACACTGAAACAACAGAGAAGAGAGATGTTTAAAAGTGCTATAGAACAAGTTCGCAAAGCTAACGATGTCATTCGTTCCATTGACGACAAACCAAAAGAAGATGAGAGATGGTTAAAGAAAGATGAAGAGAATAGGAAGAGAAATGTGAAGTCAGGCAATAGACTCATTGACTTTAACATCGAAGCTTTAGATGAACCAAACAGAGACTACTTACACAAACATTTCGGTAAGGTTTTCATGAGACTCTTAGAGAAAATTAAAATAAACTCACAACAGAGATGGATGGTATGTTATAAACTTGGTGGAAAGTATGAATGTTCTACGTTAAACCTCAATAATATTGGAACATTACTACATCAGCTCTTGAAGGAGAACTTTATATCAGAGATAGAAGCAAATGCTGCAGGTATTGTTGAAATGCACTATGACTTCTTCTTGACAAACATAAAGAATCTTACTGAAATAAAGATGTATGATTTAACAGAATATGAAGGCTTAACGATGTCAGATGTAAAGAAAGGCAAACCAAAAAAGAGACTATATAGAGATGAAAGCACACTGACAAATGACCAGAAAGCCATTTTGGAAGCTCTTAAGCAAACAGGAAACCCAGCACTTATAGAAAGCTTTTGGAAAGATAATGGTGAAAAGAAGTTTTATAAGAAGAGAGAAGCGGTCAGTTCTGGAAGTATCTTTGCACATTACCTATAAATCTTGAGCGCTACCAAATCTTCAATGAATTGAACAAAAGAACTGCAGCACTTATGACAGAAGACAATTGTTTCGTTTATGCTTGCATTCAGGCTGGAGTAAATGAAGAAACTATTGACCACATGAGAGAAGTCATTCGTGTTAGAGACTTTCCTCAAAGTAAAGTACAAGAAATTTCTGACGCAACAGGTATAGCATTTAATGTTACCATTGGTTACTTCAATGACTCAAGACATAATGAAATAAAGAGATACATACCAAAAGAATGTAAAACTATTCGAACTATTGACTTACTTCTTGTTGAAGACCACTACATGCTAAATGAAAGATTACCAATGACAACATATTTCGTCAGAAATTACAAAGAAATCTTGAAGGAGTGTGGTGGAATGAACATTGAGAAACAGATGAAGATTTATACAAAGAGAGAGAACAAATATGTAGTTCGTTATGATAGAACAACACCGTTATGGGATGTTATGAAAACATTGTGGGAGTGCAAATATTTCGAACCTATTTCTTATGGAGAACTTTTCACATATACGACTGACTTATATAAACAGAACCTTGCACCATTTAAAGATTTGACATATGCTCCAAAGTATTGTGTACAACTGAAGAAGAAAGCCGAGTCAAAAGAAGTAAATAAAGCTAAATGTAAGTTCATTCCTGAGCACGTTTCTTTGCTGACTTTGAGTGCAGTACCGATGGCTTTCATAAAGCTTTTAACATATGTACGACAGTGAAGATGATTCAGTGAGTGAAAGCATTTGGGGTCAGAACTGTGCAACAGAATTTTTGGAGCGACTTCCTGACAAGAGTTTAATATATTTCCATAACCTCAGTTATGATATAAACTTCATCTTAAGACACATGACAGAAGTGAAAAGAACTCCCATCATTAAAGGTTCACGAACAATGCAAATAACTGGCTTATATAAAGGAAGGGCAATTATTATAAAAGACTCTTACAGTGTTATAAATAAGAAGCTTAAACTATTTCCTGCTATGTTTAACTTACAAACAGGACCGAAAGAAGTATTTCCATACAACTACTACAGCAGTGTTTTGTTAGCAAATGACAACAGAACTGGTGTCATTTCTGAAGCATGTAAGTTTATCCGGATGCGATACATTCATGAAAAACATAGATTCCATCAAAGGTTGCAGAATAGATGAAAACCACTTCGACTTAGAAAAGTATAGCACATTTTATTGCAAACAAGATGTAAGAATTTTAAGAGAAGGTTTTGTTAAGTTCCGCAATGACATATTGAAAGAATTTGATTTAAACGTTTATGACTACGTTAGTATTTGTTCAATTGCTAACAATTATTTGAGAACAGAGTGTACTTCCCGAATGGAAATTTATATGACCTCTCAAATAAACCAAGAGAATTTATTTCACGCCTGTATTCAAGGTGGAAGATGTATGTTGTCAGATAACATGAAACAAAAGAGTAAAGAGAAACTCATTGCTGATTTCGACGCTGTTTCATTATATCCATCAGCTATAGCAAGACTTTATACTTTAGAAATATTCCAAAGGTTATGAAGAAAGAAATGTTAAGCACAGAGTATCTCATGAGACATTTATTCGATGACGACCAAAAGGAACCCATTGGTGAAAAGTTTATGTCTGGCTTCTTTGTTCTCATTAAGATAACAGAGATTGGAATACATAGACACTTTCCTTTAATAGTTTGTGACCCTGAACTAAATCCAGAACTTAACGTTCCCAGAAGTTCAAACACTTGCTGTTTAATGTATGTTGACCATATAACATTACAAGACCTCATAAAATATCAAGGTGTCAAATGTGAAGTGTTGCAAGGATACTATTACGATGGAAACAGAGATATTAGAATAAGAGATGAAGTAAAGAAGTTGTTTGAGTTAAGTTAAAGTATAAGAAAGAAGGAAATCCTTTGCAAGAAAATATAAAGCTCATTCTGAACAGTATTTATGGCAAAACTATTCTATCTCCTATTGAGTCAAAAATAACCATAGTAAATGACAAAGATGCTATAAGATATGCCATCAGAAACTACAACCATATAGTGAAGTTCGAAGGTTTGGATGGTTCAGAAAAAACTATTTTCAAGCTAACGAAAAGCATTTGCAGACACTTTAACTTCTGTCCACTTGGTGTTAACATTCTGTCTATGTCGAAGAGAATAATGTGTGAAGTATTCTGTACTGCTGAAGATATGGGACTTCAAATCTTCTACCAGGACTGTGATAGCATGCATATTTTCAATGAAGACATACCAAAGCTTGCAGCAGAGTTTAAAAGAATACGGTAGAGAACTTATAGGAAAGAACCTTGGTCAATTTCATTCTGACTTCGCAGAAATAACACCTGGAAAACAAAGTTTAGCATACAAGTCAATATTTTGTGGAAAGAAGACCTACATAGACTTACTCACTAACGATTTAAATGAAGTTGCATTCCATGCACGTTGCAAAGGTGTCAAACAAGACGTCCTTGCTTTAACAGCAAATGAAATGTTTCCTGAAGCTATACAATGCTATTACAATGAAGATAAGAACATTCACATACCTGTTGGAACATATGACAAAGACTCTGAGTTCAGTTTAATGAAACTTTACAAAGCACTTTATGACGGCCAAGAGATTGGATTTGACTTATGTAAGTCTGCTACACCTGCATTTGAGGAAAAGTTTAACTTCTCAATAACGACTAAAACAAGCTTTATTCGTAAGTTGAAGTTCTGAGGTCATTTATTTTTGTCAGCAGTGAGACCATTCATGATAAAAATAAGCCGCTAGCGGCAAGGGCGAAGCCCATGTGGTCATTTACAATACTGCGATGGTAGAGTTTAAGAGTTGTGCTTCAATGTAGAGACAGTCCTTATGGTCTGGAGGTAAGAACACTGGGCAGTTATGGTCATGAGTGGAGAACATGTCTATCCAAAACTCACGATTGAAGCCAGTTAATTTATAGTATTTATGGTTAGGAAGTGGTGAAGTTCTTGTATGACCAATGAACTCATTTTCAACTCCCTTACTTAAGTTTGAATATAATATAGCTTGCTTTCTATCCCAAATGCCAGGTGTTATAATCTTTGAAAATTCATTTTTCCTCGGAAGCATTGCATCATAATTGAAAACATTCTTGAAATCATCACTTGGTTCAGAGATTTGAAATCTTATACGTAATGCATTTTCTTTCTCTTTAGCGACTTCATTGAATGGTGAGAATACAACAAACTGACAGTCATGTGTTCCATCTTCATTTTCATTAAATTCATAATGAAAGTCTATAAGTTGTGGCTGACTACCTTCTTCTTTCAGTTGTGCAAGAAACTCACGTAAAGGCTGTAAAGTTTGTACTTCAATGTTGAACTTTTTCTCGAACATCTCATTAAATGAAATCATACATTGTTGCAATGTTGTATCGTCTTTAAAGTATTTGTATATGTGAATGTTTTGGGCGCTTAAAGACTGTTCGTCATTTTCTATCTCGACTTGAAGTATAAAGTCAACCTTTCTGAAAGCACGTGTATATACATAGATGTTATGCCAATGTACTTCTCTTCATTTTATGTTCACAATCCAGTCTGTTGGAAACTTAAACGTTACTCTGTTCCCCTTTATTTTGACGTCAGGGTTTTCACTACTGAACGCAACAGATAAAGGTATTGTCTATACATTTAGTTCGAATAAAAATAAACCATTTACTCTTTCTTTGCTTCAGCTTCTTTAGCTTTTGCTTCAGCTTCTTCTCTAGCTTTCTTCGCCAGCAAACGTGGGTTCTTTTGTCTTCCAGCAGCTAATGCAGCAAGTTGTTTTTCACTAAGTTTTCTCTTTGGTCTCTCTGGCTTTTGTTCTTGTTTTTGTTCCTTCAGTTCGGATAAAATTTGCTCGCGAATTTCTTTCTTCAATGCTTCAACATCTATGACCCCTTGGGTCTTGTCCATATGACTTGTCTGAGTCATTTGACTGCAGATAAAAATAAAATTAAAACTTTAACCGATGTAAAATGAGCTTGTCAAAATCAGAGCGAGAGTCTATTATATTAAATGACGCAAGAGGAATACAACATCCTTTCTATACGTAAGTCAGAGTAAAGATGGTAAAATATACGTAAGAAAAAGAAAGGTTCCATTAGCAAATGCAGAGAGCGACAGTATTAAGGTGCATGGCACCGAGGGCGAAGCCCATATAAAACCTTCTGTTCAAACTGAAAAGTCAATAGAACCAGAAGAAAAAAAAACCAGATGTATTTTCAATAACGAACCAAGAGCTTATTGCAAAGTTCGTGAATTTCATTGAAAACAAACCGAGTCAAAGAATCCTGACCCGCCAGTGAAAGAAGTTGAGACAAAAGAGAATGTACATTTCATTGAAAATGTCAAGAAACAACTTCCACCACGAATGCCAAGAAGAAGAGTGAGAATAATGAAGTAAATAGATATTTTTATCTGAAGTAAATACATGCAGAACGAACAGCTAAACGAATTTACTCCAGCAGAGCATATTCATCAGATTCGCTCATATTTCGATATCATAGACAATACAGTTCAAATTGGTGACACTAATAGAAAATATTCTGACGCAAAGATTCCATCACAACCTGGAACTGTTTAAAGATAATACATGGGTAACATTCAATCTCTCACCTCCTGGTGAAAATATGTTGGACCTTTACAATACATTCATTACGTATAAAATGGAAGGTCAATTTATTGTAGATAAAGAAATTGGTTCAGGTTCCAATAAAACAAACCCACCAGGATTTTGGATTGGTTTCGATGACGCTTTCTATGCAGTTGCTGGATATCAAATCCTTGCAAATGGTCGTATCGTATATTCTCAAGACAACGCAAGAGAAGAAGCATATATAACTTCAAACTCACAAACTACCGAACAAATAAAGAAAGTAGATGTTTTCTCAAAGACTCGACATGAAGATGTATGGAGTCATTCGGGAACATGCAGAACAGGACAAATTGTTAGTGGTCCAATTACAGCAGGAAAATCATTTGATTTTAAGCTTCGTTTAAGAATTCCTGTTAGAAGATTCCTTCCATTAGAAGCTATTCGATTTATTCCAGCTTTTGCAGGAAACATTCAGCTTAAAGTAAAGTTCAGTAGCGACGCCTTACAATGCACATCTATATCTGTAAATGATATCATTGCTTTCAATCCAACTCTTAAAGTTGCATTTGCTTCAGATTCAAATCCACCGACAAATAAATTTGTTCCATGGAATGAACCATTCACTATGATAACGAAGGCAGTAGAAGCTAGTGGAACAGTTACTATTACAACTGTAACCCAGCAACTATTTCGAACAAAGATGGATTTTAATGAATGTTTCATTCATCCAAAGTCATTCTCTTTAGACCCTAACATTTATACAGAACTTGTAGAACATTATACAAACGAGGCTTTATGTTTTCCTGTTAAAGTTATGGATTGGATTCCTATGGACGGTTCATTCTCAAAGAATACAGATAGTTCAAGTGCAACATTTACAGCAGCTTATACGCCTATTAATGTTAAAAGTATTTGGGCACTATTTAGAAAGAAAGACAACTATTATGTTAATTTTGAGAACCCTAAGTTTAAATATCTTCAGCTTTCCATGGGAGCTTATGGAAATATGCCTGCAGAACCTGAAAAATCATATGGACCTGTATTTTATGAAATGGTTTGAACGCTTGCAATACAAACAATGATATGATAGGATTTAATGAAGATGTTATGAGGTCATTGGTGGCTGATGGTAGTGTGGAACATAAATGGGATAGCTATGACAACACACATTTCTTATGTGGTTTTCCAACAGAAGTGGACTTTTGCTTCCAGCAAGGTCAAACATCTACTGCTCCAATAACATACAAATTGTCTGTTAAAGGACCTATTGAACTAGCAACTGAAAATGTACCAAAGCCACTTATTGGATTTATGAGGGATTGTTGCTTTGCCATTCAGGTGCGTGCTAATGGAATCCCAATAATAAGATTAGATGACTATAACTTAGCTACGGACGACAGTGAGGAATAAAGGATGAACGTTTATTTTTAAAGTTTATAAATGAGTTCTTCATCAAGCTCTCGTGAACCTTCACCATCTATGAAACAAACTTTACCAAACGATTATGGAGCACCTATTGAATATTTCTTACGAGCTGCACATGGCAAAGAGCAGTCTCACCAAGGTTAGGTGTTCCACCAGCTCCTGTCAAAAATAGCATTTGTCAAGTCTTTATATAAGATATTCTCCCACTAGTTTGCTAGCTACAGCAGGAGCAGTTATAGATGTTGAAAAGAAATAAAGCAAATGTTGTAAATAATACTGAAGTAGCTGAAGTTAAACAAACTCCAACACCTTCACAAGCAAAACCTTCAATGACTCCTGAACCTATGGAAGTACAAACTCCTGTTCAAAAGTCAACTCCTAAACCGACCCAACATTTAAACCAGAACCTACACAAATAATCGTAAAACTCCTGCGTTTCCTACTGAAAAAATAACGTTATTTTTATTTAATATTAAATTTTTATTTGATTGAAATGACAAATAAAGTCACTGAAGCAATGAAACAAAAGTTTTTGGTAGAATACATTAAATCAGGAACTATTCCAGAAGGTTTTTACATCATCAAATGAAAGATGTAGAGTTCAGTTTAGAAAGATAAAGCAACCATTAGATAGAGAAGGAATTTGAGAAAGATTAAACTTCATGAGGACAACATTGCTGAACTAAGAAGAAGTTAGAAGAGTTGGAGAAAGGAAGAGAGTTTATAAAGCAATGAATTCAAGAGGGTGAAATGAGGTTAGAAATCGGGTTATCTAACCTCTACCCTAAATTTATTTTTGGTGTAAATTCACAAGTTAGTTATCGGGCTAGATCTAACCTTCTACCCTAAATTTATTTTTGTGCTATGTTTCATACGTGTGAGGGTGTGATATCATTTTTTTTATTTATTTTTTATTTTATTTTTATATAAATGACGAAACTATTGAGATAACAAACTACAATGGTCATGAGTTCAAGAATTTGTTCTTCGTTCCTCGTGAAAATACATTCTATCAGATACGAGGAGAAAGGGTAAAGTTAGTTTGAGCGTTTATGACTACAAACATAATGGAAAGTTTATAAAGCATACGATACAAACGGTAAGCGTGTTTCATTAGCTTTGTCAAAACTTTAGTAACATTTATTTTGACAGTGATTTTGACCTATATGAAGAAGAAAGTGAGTCAGAAGATTATGAGCTTATGTGAAGCACAGCAATGGGAGAGTTGCAATACTTTTGTAAGTGAGAACGTTTATTTTTTACATTAGTGAAGTCGTTTGTGAAAACGTTAGTGAGGTGAAGTGGTTGGTGGTTTTGTAAATATTTAAGGTTAAGTTAGTGTTGTCGTTTGTGTTGTAAAATATACGTTAACGGTTTCATAAAGTGTCAAATTCACATAACAGGGGTACGGTGGAACGCAGTGCCTTATTACACTTGATATGTAATCTATCTCCTGTGACGCAAACCATATTCGCCAATTTTTCCTCTCCAAGCATAGATACTTTGCCCGCAGGAAGAAGTTTATTGCGAATATGGACGAGACAATGCTCTATTCCAAACATCGTTATAAAGTTCTTACTGCTGGCCGGAATCGCCAGTTCGCGCTGAAAAGTCTCAGCTTCCACATCTTACAGGGTCGTATCGTGCTGAACCGTTGGGAAAAATTGAATACCCGAAGTTCAGCATAC